ATGGAGGGAGGTTGGCCCTGGTGGTGGGGTTGGTACTGTAATATTGTATGTCTAAATTCAATTATGAATAACTTTTTAAACCATGATGATTTACTTAAAAAAAGTAGGCTTTAAAAACCTTCTCATACTCATTAGAGGGTGTTTTGAATTAAACCAAGCAGAAAGAAAATAATTTTTGAGTAAAAAAGAATTTCCAGTTGCTTAATCAGTTGCTTAATTCAGTTGCTTAAATGAGTCAGAAATGTTATCTAAGTACTTTGGAAGAACCCATTTCAGAACTCTTAGCTGATCTATAGTAACCTAGTAATCTTAGAAACAATACAGGCGGCCGGAGAGACAGTACAGTGGTGAGGGTTGGCCAGAGAGATTGGGTAGGGTGCTTGCATAGATTTAATCACCACCACCACATATGGTCCCTTAAGCACCACTAGGCGTGGACCCTGAGCACAGAGCCAGGCTGGATGTGAACCGCACTCTCCCCAGAAAAAAAAAACACTTTAATATAAAAACAAATAAAACAAAATATAAAGCTCTTACTGTGCAAAAAGCATATTCTTTTGCACATACCTCTGGGACAGTTTTTATATTGAGGCATGCGTCTGATATTTTCATTAAAATAATATAGCTAGGGAAAAAAAACTAACTCAGTTGTCTTCTTTAATTGGATAGGTAATTATTAGGAACTGTCACCAGGATAGAACAACCTGGCACCTGAGGAGCCAGTGGTCTACTGCAAAATCATTTCTGACTTTTCTGTTTTGTGCTCAAAAAGTTACCAGGGAAGCCAGTGGGGCTAGTCAAGTCTGTCTCAAACTATGTCGCTACAAGTGGAATACTTTAGCAGAGAATTCACAATTACAATTATGGTGTTTTTAATGCAAAAAAAAATCAAAAAATATTAAACATAAATAAACTTCATAGACTATTTCCCAACTACATTCAGCCTGGCTCTGTGCTCGGGGATCAATCCTAGTGGGGTTTGGGAGAACCATATGGGGTGCCAAGGAGTGGACATGCATGCCAGGCAAGTGCCTTACCTGTTGTACTACCTATATGGCACTAAAAGATTGTTTCTGGCACTAAAAGGTTGTTTCTGGCACTAAAAGGTTGTTTGTTTGTTTTTAATGTCTAGAAAATATATAATTCTGTACAATGGACTCAACTATGCTTACACTAAATTAATCTATTGAATTTTTAAACCCTGGCGTCATTGTTTTTCGGAGTCAGCATCTATATGAAGGTGACTAAGACTAAATGAGGTTATTGAACTGAGGTACAAATCCAACCGGACTGGCGCCCTTGTAGAAAACACAAAAAAACTCTCTCAATCTGTGAGGACTCAATGAGAAAATTGCTTTCGCAAACCCTCCCTGGAAATCAAGTGAGTTGACACCTTGACCTTTGACTTCCAAACCTGAAGAATTTTCAGGAAGAGATGTCTGTTGTCTGAACCCCACCCACGAGGGGATTTTGTTCAAGAGGCTGAGCAAACTGAGATACACTCAGGGGTCCTGATCTTCTCACTCTCTGCCACGCCCATTCTCCTCTTGCATTGATCCGTTTTTGTCTCCAACACATACTATTTTCTACTTTAGAATAAAAAATGTCCCCAATTTCTTTTTGAAACTACCTATAAATATTGTAAATAAATTTAAAATATACACATTAATTAAAATTAAAACACAATAATATAAAATTTGGGAAAGAAAAATTGTCTAAACTTAGCCTTCAGCAAAAGGGCTTTTATCCGTTATCTAGAAAGTATTGTACAATACCCCCACAAATTTCCAAGAAAAAAGAACATTTCCAGGAATTTTTAACACACAATATTCTGTGGTCAGTGTACAAAAGCAATATGTATGCTTTGCTCTGCAGGAGAGTAAATACTTGGAAATAATGGAAACAAATCCATTTAAGCATAATAGTTATCATATTTCAATTTATTTCCATGAAAATTGGTTATTACATGCTGTGTTAGTAAAAAGAACTATAAAAAAGAATTAAATGCATTAAAACCATACAAAATAAATGTTGCATATTAGACTACATGATTTTTTAACTAAAAATCTTTGGATTATGAAAGCACCACTTACCTCCCGACTTAAAATCTGGCAAAAAATTCACTGCCAGAAAACAAATTCCATGTCGAATCAGATCACCATAGTACAGAATGCAGAAAATTTCCAAGGCAAACTTATGTTCAAAAACATACTAATATATTTTGGTACCTCAAAATGTCAAACAATAGCCATATAGGGAATTAACACATTAATGTTTTCATTTAAAAAGAAAGATCTCTTTCCTCATTTCATTACACATTTATAGAACAGAGATCTGTCAAATAAATTACTGAAAATCAGTTTAAGCTAGACCTTATAACACTTGAATTATATAATGGGGCATATAACCTTTAAAGAGAAAGACAAATGATAAAATTTAAGAACATTTAATTTGCATAAATGTAACATTAACAGTCTTTCCAGGCTATATACTTCATGATAAATAGGTGTGTATGTGTGTGTGTGTCATTCTATTAGTCTTTAACAGCGTTACAGGTCATTTTTAATATTTCTACAATTTTATTTTACCATAATGGAAGCAGTTATCATATATAAAAATAGTGATATCATAAAAATAATTCAGTATGACTAGGAATATTCTAACATCAAGACTGTATTATAGCACTTATATTTTTCATATGCTCTGCTTTGGAATAAATATTTATGTTTTAGGATTTTGCATGTCTGAAGTTCATATTCAACTACTGAACTCTAAAAATTCAATTCTAGGGAGTTCTTCTAGATCAACAGTCATTGATTTTAGTGTGTAGAGTTTTTAGAACAAAGAGCTTGATGTGTGCATCTTTAGGTTGCTCTTTACTATAAAAATAGTATGAACATTTGATACTTAAGTTATTGAGTCTAAAATTTTATTCATTAAAATTTTACTTCAAAACACTGAGTTTGTTGAAACCCTTGCTCAGACAACACTTGAACAGCTTTCCTAATAAAACGAACAAACAAATTTCATTGAAATGTTGCAATGATTCTAATGTTTCCGGTGATACACAATCTCTAGCAAATCAGAAAAGGCCCACTGTGCATACTTTCAAGGGAAAAAATGCACAAGGAAGTATCAGTTTATACACAAACAAAATATATTTTCTTAACGTTTCTGGATTCCTCTCTATGTGTCAAGGTCCAAGAGAATAAAGATAATAAATGTTACCAATATTTACCACTGGAAGCATTTAATTGGAGAGTGTAGAGTAAATTTTCTCTAAGGAAACTTTACATCCAATTATTACTTTCATGTTTTTTAAAAAATCAGTATATGATAGGAATAAAAGTTGGTCTTAATCATTTCCACACAAAGGAAAGTAGGAAGAAGTCTTCCACTGTGACAAGAATGTTTCCTGATTGTATGGTTATTTGATATCAACCAAAGTGAAATGGCTGATAATTTACAAGAATTTAAAACATATATTATCCCCTTTTATTTTGTACATTGTCTTACCTCGAAAATAATATTAACGTTAAGGGACCTATAAATGCTTCCCACACATTTGAAAGGGACCATTATATCATTGACAAGCACTAGAATTTACTTGTAGAAAAGCCCATCAACATACCTAAATGCCTTTAATTTTGTTTTCAACCTACTTGTCAAATTCACTTTAGAGGATTTGTCTTTTTGTTGATGCCAGTTTCAAGAGCATTAAAACACTTGAAGATTTGGTTTTTATTACCTATATCTCTGAAAGTGATATTTCTTCATAGGTAACTTAAATTTCTAGATAAAAATATGAAGTTGTGTGTAATTGTGTGTGACCAAGAATATATGTACAGTCATAAAAGTCAATAACTTATATAGGTCAGTCTTTTCTATGATGTTTAAGTTATCCTCTAACAAAAGAAAAAGGAAAAAAAATACTATGGAGATCTACAGAAAATGACCAATCTATCTACATGGATATAGAAGATAAGTGTATTATATCATACTGGCAGCCTTTCTGGAATAGGATGAGTTTAACAACTACCATTAATCATGTATTTTAAAAGACGCAAAGCTATTAGACTGGTATTATTTAAAAATTGTATCATTGTATGACTGAAATCCAATCAAGAGCAACTTTGTAAATGTGTATATCACTGTGTTATCAACTTAACATTTTTTAAAAGATTTAAAAAAATTGTATCTGAGGGTGAAGATATACAAAATTTGCAATTTCACATCCCCTAACTCCAACTAAATTTAAGCTGAAAACAGAGAATCTTATAAGATGAAAGATTAGGTTACTATTGACCTAAAGATCTTCAGTATTTTCAATATTCGCAGAAAAGCAGACAAATGTGAAAAAAAAATTTGGTTTTGTTGGGATATGGTTTCACAGTTATGGAAGGGAATGGAGAATTATTATTTCTAGTTTGTCATTTGTATTTGTCTTATTTTCCATGAATTTTATATTGTATAATATAAAATTATATTATACAATATAATTATAAAATTATATTGTATAATATAAAGCTGCATTTAATATGGTTTATATTTAATAGCTTTGGGTAGGATAAATGATGTATTTGCTAAAATGTTTTTATGGGACACATATAGATGATCTGGAGTTTTGTAATGACTTACGAATGTTCTAAGTCTCTTATGACAAAGCCTTTTCATTTTACAAATTAACTTAAAATCAAACAACACAAAGGAAATAAATTCATGTTTACCTTTCAGTACCCTAAAACTAAACGCATACCGATTTTTATAAAATAACTATAGAACAACTAAGTGGTCCTTCTTACTAACAAAGATTAAAAAAAACATTGCTAGCAAATCTTTCCCAGTGGCTACGTGGTGGCAGATTCCCATCATACTTTTTGTAGAGGTCATCTGTGAAATTTAAACAACAACAACAAAAGTTGTACGAAATATAGAGCGTGTCTGGCCTCTTCCAGGTAGGCGCCAAAGACAAGATCCGGATGAACTGCGACGAAAGGATCTCACACTTCGCTGTGGTCACTGAGTTTGCTCAAATTCTGAAATAAAAGACGAAGAAATGAATTCAAGCTACTGACTCGATTCAGACGGGTATTAATTCAAAGATCAGAGCTGTCTGGTCAAAGCAAGGAAGTAGTGTCTCACGTTCAACGAGACACCAGAATATATAGCCTCGAAAGCTCCAAGTTCAATATCTGCCTGCTGGCAGTGAAACTGTCCCTACCACTTAGAAATGCCATACGTTCCCTGAGCCTCTTTCCTCGCTTCTGAAAAATGGATTAAATAATAGTGTGGCAAATAGAGAAAGTTCAAAGAGATAAAGCATCAGATTATCTCCAGAACGTGATGAATATTTAATAAAGCTGGGTTGATTGTAATAGTGTTAGCAGTAATAATAATGATGGCCATTATTATTTACTTTATAAATACATCCTGGTCTAGTTAAATATAATTGGGGTCACTCCGGGAGGCACCAGAGCTGTTCTGGGAATGAGGGAAGGAAAAAATGATTCAAACTCAAAGGAAATTTTGGGAAATCTAGAATAGATTTCAAAGTTACCGTAAGGCCTTGTATTTGGAAGATTACTCACATTCCATTGCCATGTGGATGCTAAAATCCACAAAGAGTATGTCTAAATGTGGCAAAATGGAGTGAAGGAAAAGTTGTCATAAAAGGAAAATAGTCATGACGTTATACTTAAAGGGGTTCTTTTGGGGGCGGGTGGGAGCTGGGGAAATTAAACCCAGCTGTGCTCCAGGGGTTACTCCTGGCTCTGCAGACAGGGATCACTCGTGGAAGTGCAGGGAGACCTTACGGGGATGCCAGGGAGCAGACCCAGGTGGACAGCATGCAGGGCAAGCACCCTACCTCCTGTGCTATCTCTCTAGGCCCTGGAAAGATAATAATATAATTAATATTAATATATTATAATATCTTCATTATAATAAAGATAATAAATTATAATTATCTAATTATCTATAATTATCTATAATTAGATATTTATATATTGTATAAATAATAAATATATAATTAATAATATAATTAATATTAATATATTATAATATCTTTATTATAATATATTAATATTAATTATATTATTATATTATTGTATTTGGAAGATTACTCACATTCCATTGCCATGTGGATGCTAAAATCCACAAAGAGTATGTCTAAATGTGGCAAAATGGCAAAATGGAGTGAAGGAAAAGTTGTCATAAAAGGAAAATAATATATAAATATCTAATATATAAATATCTAATATATTATAATATATTATAATAGTATAATAATCAAATCTTTAGATTTGACAGGGCTGGATTCAAATTCCCAACATAGTAGATCCTGAAAAAGAGCATTTCCTTTACAAATAGGAAGTTTTCACCAAAAAGTTTATCACCAAAACCTCCAAGTAATGATATTGATGGAAGATCCATCCAAACGATTTAACCATGTCCATAGTCAAATAAAAGGAATGGAAACATCCTTTGACTTGTGGCAGAGAAACTCGAGGCACAAAAAGCTTTCAGTGTATCTTTAGATGTCAGTGGGGTAATAGGCTTTAAATTATAGCCTATTATAGCCTATAAATTATAGCCTATAAATTAAAAAAAAATCTGGAGTTCATGCCCGTATGCCAACTTGCTCAACTCACCTTGTTTGAATGGATGCTACTTATTGCAGCAGATATGGATTCAAAAAAAATTGGTTTCTCTGAGTCTAGGTTGCCACTGTAGCTCATCGCTTTCATCAAGGAGGCTACAAGGAAATACAGATAATGTCAGGATCGAGAAAGCCACAGTAGAACCACACTCAAAGTCCAAAGAAAGACAGCCCCTTACCTCTGCAATGAGCTAATGATACATCGACACTTTTGCTCTTACAGTCCATGTAAACCTGGAAGAATTAAAATAGTAAGCGCACAATTAATTTACGAAATCGGGCAGGAAATAAGAAGGGCTTCAGAAGGAAAATTCCTGGAATAAAGGAATTTCTAGAGTCAAGAACACGATTTATGACAGCAGACCACCAGGGGGAGACATTGCTGCATCGTCAGGCAAGCTTGAGATGGTTCAAAAGCTAAGATTAAAGGCAGCACAACGTCTATTCTAAAGGATAGACAGCAATTTGGGCATATTCCTGCAATCTCTAAGTTCCACCGATGATGGTAAACTTGAGACCTTCACTAGAATGATGGCCAAGTGGGACAATCAAATTTCCCAGTCTTAAAGTTCCTCAGGATGAGATGCTAATTTGTTTGACAAACTTTAGAACAGAGTCCTACCATGTTTGAGTTCCAGAAAATTTCAGTTAGGAAAAACTTACTGAAGGTCCTGATCTAAATTCACTGACTTACCTCCTTGAAACTCAGAGAAAGTAAATCTAGACGATTTAGAAACAACTGTAAGACCACATGTACCAAGAATGTATCTGACAGATAAAATGTAGCAAGCTGCATTTACAATACATTCTACTACAAGTATCCATCCCCCAAAATAAATAAGCCCTTATTTTCTTTCAGCAGGAAGACATTTCTGCATGTTAGAACTGTAAAATAATTCTGTGCATGAATAAACGATCGGCAGAATAATACTGAGATGGCCATTTAATGAATGGCTTCTGTTTTTATATGTTAAAATGATTAATTTGAAGTGACCTTGAATTAGTCAGTGTTTGACATTTTTTTTCCCTCAGGCTCAGTGAAGCACAAACACACAACTCTTTAGGGGTGTGGTTTGTTTGGGGGTTTTTTTGTTTGTTTTTTTGGTGTTGATAGTCATAATCTCTAGCTCACTGACCTCTCCAAAAATGTCCTAAACAGAAGAACAAATAGCACAGCTTCATTCTCTCCAACCTCTCGGTCATAAGACGTGTTTCTTGTTATTAAACTATGAAAACAACTAAGAACACAGTCCTGGGAGTGCTGATCGGAAGCGGGAAGCCAGGCAGGAGGAGGACCCCTCTGCCTCACTTGGCGCCCTCTCTTGGTACTGAGGCAATGAGGAAGTGGCACCAGCTGGAAGGACATTATTATTCTCTAAAGAAACATCTTTAGGGTAGAGAGATGGGTAGAGAGATGATATGGGGTTAAGGGACTCCCCTTAGCTGTGACTGCCACCTTTCAGGGCCCCGCACTGCATCTGCCCCTGAGCCCAATAGCAGGGATCTCTGAGCACAGAGGCAGGAGTAACTCCTGATATTGCCCTAACTTTCTCCCCTACCCCAAAGAGAAATGGCTTGGAAGCTGAGAAGACAGCTCAAAGTGGGGTGTGTGACGCCCTGATTCTGCCCCTCACCACCACCACTCTAGCCACCAGCACCGCAGCTGTGGATCTGATTGGTGACCCCCAGCACCATGGGCAATGGCCCCTGGGTACTACAAATTATTGTGCATACCCATTGCACATGGACTAGAATTTTGCAAAATGAGAACAGTAGGATCAGAGAGACTGCTGAGAGTACGGAGTTGTTGCTTAAGCTTGGCTGCAGGCTCGTTATGCCCTAGGTCATCCCAGCAGCATCACAATAAATTGAAGTGTTTAGCGAACATCTAGGCATAAAAAATAGTGGGGTCTACCTAGTTCACATACGTTAGAACTAGTTATGTGACTCTCTATAAATCAAGGGTTCATCTCTTTAGTTGGTTTGCTTGGGAGCCATACTGGGTGGTATTCGGGGCTTATTCCTGGCTCTTTACCTCACTCTTGGTGGGCTCAGGTAGTCTCTGGAGTGCTGAGGATTGAACCTGCTTCAGCTACTTGAAAGGCAAGTGCTGTACCCGTTGTACTATCATTCTGGCCCCCATAAATATGTTTAGCGTACATCAAAATGTATTGGAACCATAATAAGAGAAATCAGTAGTATTAAGGAAATTGCAAAGTACAGATGTACATAAAGCTATTATTGGTGCCATACACAGATTAGAAATACTAGGCCTGGGGGGCTGGAGCGATAGCACAGCAGGTAGGGTGTTTGCCTTGCACGTGGCCAAGCCGGGTTCGATTCCCAGCATCCCATAGGGTCCCTCGAGCACTGCCAGGAGTAATTACTGAGTGCATGAGCCAGGAGTAACCCCTGTGCATCTCCGGGTGTGCCCCAAAAAGCAAGAAAGAAAGAAAGAAAGAAAGAAAGAAAGAAAGAAAGAAAGAAAGAAAGGAAGGAAAAAGAAAAAGAAATACTAGATCTGGCCCAGCGTGATAATACAGCATGCAGGGCACTTACCTTGCACACAGTCCTTGAATTTGACCCTGGCCATGCCACAAGGTGCCAGAGCCCCACCAGGACGGATCTCTGAGCACAGCGCCAGGAGTAAGCCCTGAGCACTGCTGACTGTGCCCCATCCCCCCACGCCCTCCTCACCAATCACCCCCACTACCACCCACCCCCCCCCAAAATAGAAAAAATATACCAGGCCCAAATAAGGAGGAGAGTACTGTCCTGCACTCACAAGAGCGACAGGACCGCAGGGTGTGGTCTCATCACCGGCAGGCAGGAGAAGGCATATCGCCAAGACCAAACGCTGAGATGCAGTTCCAGGCTGAGATTCTTCGAAAGGGACCCAAAGTTTCCCCATAGCCCTGCTAGATCCATGTGACCTCTGGCCCCCAACCCCCTCACCACAAACTAAAAATCATGCTCTTTCCTGCCAGTTTTCTTTTCTTTTTTGGTGGGGGAGGGGCACACCTAGTGGTGTTCAGGGATTACTCCCGGCTCGGTGCTCAGGAGTTGGCTAAAAGGGGACTATACGGGGTGCTGAGGTTCAGCCATGGGTCAGCTGCAAGCAGGAAAGGGCCCTTCCTGCTGTGCTATCACTCTGTTCCGTTTTCTGTCAATTTTAAATTAAAAAAAAAAATCTGTTGACTTGTCCCATAACTTCATTGTACCTGATTTTATCAGCAATGAGAGGTGAGTGAGGAAAGTTCCTTCTCAACAAGCCTACCACTTAGATTGTCTTTTTTCTCTGAATTTTCAGCCTGAGGTCCTAAACACCTGGGAGAAACATTCATATCCTCTTTATTACTTTCCTGCGGCCCTGATTTGTAATCTCTAAGTAGCACTGTAGCACCGTCCTCCTGTTGTTCATCTACTCGCTCGAATGGACCCAGTAACGTCTCCATTGTGAGACTTGTTGTTACTGTGTTTGGCATATCGAATGGGGAGCTTGCCAGGCTTTGCCGCTTTGCCAGCGGGCAAGATACTCTCGGTAGCTTGCCGGGCTCTCCGAGAGGGGTGGAGGAATCGAACCTGGCTCAGCCGAGCTGGCTGAGCGCAAGGCAAACACCCTACCGAGTCCAGGCAGCTAAAAAGTACTAGCTCTATATTGAAAAAAAATGTTTAACTATACCCAAAAAAATGCACCCACTCTTTTTTCAGAAATAGGATAATTCTAACCTATGGTTTCTCCAGTGTGATCCTTGGAATTTCTGGCCCAGAACCAGGACCCACCAGACAGGTTTAAATGATCCCTGTTAATGTGATTTTTGGGGGGAGTGCGATCTTTAAAGTAGGGTGCAGAATGCTAAGGACCTCTCTGAGAGACCTTGGCTCACCCCGTCTGTGATTTAAAGAGACCTGGAGGTAAGCCTGTCTCAGGTGTCTCAGGGGAGAAGGCAATTAGGATAGAGAAAGGACCTTGACAAAGACAGTTGGAAATGATGACTCGGGATAAGAACTGTATGCTGAAAACAGGTAAAGGAACAAACATGATAACTTTTCACTCTCTGTATTGCAAACCATAATGCCTAAAGGGGGAGAAGGAGAGAGACAGAGACAGAGTCAGAGAGACAAAGAGACATAGAGTCAGACAGAGAGACAGAGAGACAGAGAGAGACAGAGAGAGAGAGAGAAAGAGAGAGAGAGACAGAGTGAGAGAGAGTGAGAGAGAGAGAGAAGGAAAGTGCCTGCCATAAAGACAGGCTGGGGAGAGGGTGTCGGGAAGGAAACTGGGGACCAGTGCTGGGAAATGTACACTGGTGGAGGGATGGGTGTTAGAACACTGTATGACTAAAACCTGACCATGACCAGTTCTGTAACTGTGTGTCCAACTGCAGGGCATCTGCCTTAACCCCTGAAATCTCTCTCCAGTCCCTGAACACAAACCTAAAAGGGTTTTCCTAGACCTTTACCATATATAATAAAAGGGCTGAATACAAGAAGCTCTCCAAGAAAAAGATACTACCCGTTTATCGTCCAGATTTATATAAAAGGAAATATAAAATATCTCAGGTCAAACTGCCAAACTCTAACTAATTCATAGATAAGGAAATTAAAAGAACCATTTTATAGATAAGGAAATAAAAGGATTTTTTTTCGGTGGGGGGAGGGTGGATTTTGTTGTGGGTTTACACCTAAATGTATTCAGGGCTTCCTACTGGCTCTCTGCTCAGGACTCACGCCTGTCAGGGCTCTGGGGACTGTATGTGGTGCCTGAGATAAACCTGGTTCAGCAACTTGCAAGGGAAGTGTCTTCCTATGCTGTGGCCCCAAATAAAAACATAGTATATGGATTAAGGGGTGACATATCCCAAACAGCCACTAGATTCAAGGCCTGGGATGTTTACAATATAATTTCTTATGCATTAGTCTGATGTCAGGAGAGCTGTCATGTCTCAAACAGCATCACTTCTTCGTTGTCCAAAATTGAGATCTGTTCCAAGCTGGTAAAGTCGAACCAGGACCCAGGACCACCCTTCCAGACTGTTCCCCGGAAGCTCTCTTCACACTGAACCTTTCAAAGTCATCGTGCATCTGATTTGGAACTCAGTTTTACTCACTGAACCTACAGGAAACTTTCCTCATTGTCAAAATTATTCATGACCCTACTCATATTCAGTTTCATGATATGGGGTCACAGGCGGGCTCATAGGCTAGTTTAAGAAATTAGGAGGTATGGGAAATATCCCAGAGAGGCAAAAAAAAAGTATAGTCGGAGTGACATCTGCAATTGTTTGTTCATTGCAGCACTCTTTACAATAGCCAGAATCTGGAAAAAACCTGAGTTCCCAAGAACAGAGGACTGGTTAAAAAAACTTTGGTACATCTACACAATGGGGTACTATGTAGCTGTTAGAAAAGATGAAGTCATGAAATTTACATACAAGTGGTACAACATGGAAAGTATCATGCTAAGCAAAATGAGTCAGAAAGAGAGGGACAGACACAGAAAGACTGCATTCATCTGGGGAACATAAAATAACAAAATAGGAGACTAACACCCAAGATAAGTACCAGGAGGTTCACTCCATGACTTGGAGGCCAGCCGCACATGCTGGGGGAGAAGGAAGCTCAGATAGAGAGGGGAGCACCAAGTAAAGGGTGTTGGGAGGATCCTCCCAGGATGGAAGATGCATGCTGAAAGTAGACTATAGACCGAATATGATTGCCATTTAATGCCTTTTTTGCAAAACACAACACCCAAAAGGAGAGAGAGAACAAAAGGGAATGCCCTGCCACAGAGGCAGGGTGGGGAAGGGGGGTGGGTGGGGGGTGGAAGGGATACTGGGACCTGTGGTGGTGGAAAATGGGCACTGGTGGAGGGATGGGTACTGGATCATTGCATAACTGAAACCCAAGCACAAAAATTTGTAAGTCTACAGCTGTACCTCATGATGTTTCACTAATAAATTTTTTTTTAAATAAAATAAAAACTCTAGACTCTGAGAAAATAAGAAGAAATTAGGAGATAGAGAAGCTGCAGCCTCTGAAAATGGGAAAGTCTCCCGAAGTGGCTATTGCCTGAGGGACGAGCAGGGTCCCCAGCCACCACGTGAGTGAATTCTTCTGTGGCACCCAGGGCTGGCTTCTCCCAGAGACAATATCTCCTTCCTTCTGGAAATCTGTGGACCCACTGCTCACAAGGTGCCAGCTTCACCTCAACTTCAGTTTCTGTTTCGTGTCTCCTCACGTGACTGCCCCCAGACGTGACACATCCTCTTAGCTTACAGACTCCACAGGGAGAACAGGAGTGACACATAGGGGCACCGAAGAAATTTCCTATCCTGTGGAGAAAAGAGCCTGAGTGGAGTATTGGGACAAAAAGCGGGACTTAGAGTCCCTGGCGGAGAGAGTGGCTGTGAAAAATGCCCGTGCTGAGGAAAGGGAAAGGGTCCGAGCAACCTCAGGCTGGGCAAATACCTCCACCAGCTCCGAGACTCCAGAATAGTCGAAAAAGGTCAGTCCACTGCAGTCCAGGATTAAAGAGTTCTTCTCTTTCGAGTAAGGCTGGGAAGCTTCTTCTGCAAGAGGAAGAGACCTGAGTGAGAGAAGATTCTGGAGATTTCTGCTGTTGACCATTAGAAAGCAAAAAAAGAACGACCGCTTCATTTAATAGACACAAATTTGAAATACTTGAGTTTTATGTTTTTTTTTTGTTTTTTTGTTTTTTTGCTTTTTGGGTCACAACCGGCAATGCACAGGGGTTACTCCTGGCTCTGCACTCAGGAATTACCCCTGGCGGTGCTCAGAGGACCATATGAGATGCTGGGAATCGAACCCGGGTTGGCCACATGCAAGGCAAATGCCCTACCCACTGTGCTATTGCTCCAGCCCCAATTTTTTTTTTTAATTAATGACTAACACTTTTCTGAATTGTGATTTTGGTGATCCCTGTGTTCTGTCAGGTCACTGTTCTCCAACGACTCGCAAGGGAAATGTGACCAGGATACTATGGCGGGGAGAGGGACAAAGCTCCGCCCCTGGAGTGATGCTCAAAGGCTCCCTGGGAAGCTCGCGCCAGCGGTACCCTGGAAACACGCGCCCGTCCCAATCCACACCACTTCCTGGATTTGAGTTTTATTCAGCCTGAAGTTGAGGCAGTTTGAAGTCCCTGAGGAGATCTACTAGGGCTGTTTTTCATGGCATTATAAGGGACATTGAGCTTCATTTAATGCATGATAAAATTACCTCTGAATACAAGTTGGGGAAATTTTTTAAAATATACTGGAATCCGTGATGGTGGGAAATGGGCACTGGTGGAGGGATGGGTATTTGATCATTGTATAATTGAAACCCAAGCACAAAAATTTGTAAGTCTACAACTGTACCTCACGGTGTCTCACTAATAAAAATTAAAATATATACATATATAGCTGTTTAGGGGCCATAGTACAGTGGGTAGGGCGTTTGCCTTGCACGCAGCCTACAAGGGTTCGATCCCCAGTATCCGATATGGTCCCCCAAGCACCACCAGGAGTGATTCCTGAGTGCAGAGCCAGGAGTAACCCCTGAGCATCACCGGGTGTGACCCAAAAAAGCAAAACGACAACAAAGTAGCTGTTTATGTTCTTGTTCTCATTGACATCCCCAGAGCTTCACTTCCCTTTCTGAGCTGACATAATTTGTTTGGTTTCTTGTGTGTATGGGAGGGGGAAGGGGGAGTGTCACACCGGGCAGTGCTCAGGGCTTTCTCCTGGCTCTGTGCTCAGGGATCACTCCTGGCAGAGCTCAGGGGCCCCTAGGTGGTGTCAGGGATCACACAGTTCGGAGGTGTGCAAGGCAAGAGCCCTAACCACTGTACTAACACTCTGTCCCTTTATTTCTAAGCCATGACGGGCCCACTCGGGAGGCAAGTGGTTGTCAGCAGAAGATGCTCAAAGTCCGCTACCTTTAGAAGAAAAAACTTATTAAATAAATGAGTTTTATTTATTTAAATTGCAAAATTCTCTTCTCCCACTCCTCCATTCTTTCTTTCCTCTCCTCACTATAGTCTGGGGCAAAGGTTGGCTTGGAACACCCCTTAAAAGCATTCCGTTTTCTCATCCAGTTATTCTAAATTCATTCACCAATAGGAAATTTTCTGAAAAAAAATTGATTCTGCATTGGAATACTTTTGTCATTGAAAATACCTATAGAATTCTCCCATAGTAGCTACTGAACAGTGGGCCTATGGTTGTTTTCCAATTAGCTATGGAGAAAAATGGAAGGAAAATTGTGTATTTATCCAAACTGCTACTTAAACGTCAAAACAAGTAAGCAGAAAGTACAGAATGAACTTGGAACATTTATTTATACCAATTATTGTTAGGTGAAGAATGTAAGATTAGCATATTAAAGTGTTATTCGGGTAAACTATTTGTTTCCAAGTTTCACTTTTAGAGTTATGATAATAGTACTTAGTTAAAATATATATAATAGTTTGTTATTGAAAGAGGAATAGTATATGATAGAGAATATACTATGTTAGAAACTTTTGAAATATACTAAATGATAATTATGTAAGAAAGATCCTATTCCCTTCTTCCAGGAATTCTAGAGGTAGGAATGGTACATAGATAACATGTAATTCAAAATGAGAAAGAGTGAAAATTCCTAAGGAGTTTCTTTGGAATGATGAAGTAGGCTTCATCAAAACAGCGCCTTGAAGTATATATGTGTGTGTGTGTGTGTGTGTGTGTGTGTGTGTATTTACATATATACGGATGTGTATACATATGTAAATACACATGAATATTTAATTATCTAAGGTAGAGATAATGAGAGCATGCAAAATTCCAAATCATATGGAAAGGTGAGGTGTTGTGGTTTTTTTTTTTTTGCTTTTCGGGTCACACCTAGCGATGCTCAGGGGTTACTCCTCGCTTTGCACTCAGGAATCAGTCCTGGCAGTGCTCAGGGGACCATGTGGGATGCTGGGAATCGAACCCAGGTCTTCCACATGCAAGGCAAACGCCCTACCCGCTGTGCTATCACTCCAGCCCCACGAAGAGTTTTGATTGAAAATTAATGATAGTTTAGCACCTCAAACTCTTCCTATTCCCATTCAACCAACATTTATTGGGTGGAGTCGGTGGGGTTCCAGCAATCCATGGACCTTCTATTCCCCTGACAGTGACAGTGACTAAATCTCAAGTGTAGACTTAGGTTATGCTTCCATTGACCTCAAACAGTAATTTAGAAATTCAAACCAGATTAAAGTTAACCACATCCTCTGATTCCTCACGATCACTGATTAATTAAAAACACAGACTACCTTCATGAAGGGGTCTTATTTCCATAAACACACACATATCTTATCAGTACATTAGTTTTAAAACACTTCGACTTTAGAGTTACAGAGTCAGAATTCATAATCAACATTAAAAGAGTTGTTTGGATATCTGTCTCATTATTTCACCTGAGATACGTATTTCTTGTGACTCATCAGTACATTTTTTATCCAAATCAGAAATATTTCGTTGAATTTTCAGAGTTTAAAGATATCTAGCAATTGATTACTCTGACTTCTGCAATCGGGAATTACTCCTGGCCTGCTCAGGGAACCATATGGGATGCTGGGAATTTAACACGAATCGGCTGAGTGCAAGTCAAGCACCCTCCTCGATGTTCTATTTCTGTAGCTCCTGTACAATTCTTCTTAACCCCATGTTTAATAACGGCATATTGAAATTAGTCACACACATATTCGTACGATGGAAACTGGCAAATACTGCAAATCTCTGCTTCTCCACAACTCCACGCTTCTTAAAATTTTAAGGCACATCACGGGCTAAAGGTGGAATACTCTTGTTAAAGAGAACAATTAGGAAATTCATTTATTAATGGATTGACGTAACCTTGGCTTGAAGAGTATTAAGCAATTATATTTTAGGATTACAATATTTTGTCACACCATGTCTACCCTTGAGGTCCTATGAATAGTGGTGGGGAGATATTGACAGTTTGGTGAATGTACGAAGCCATTGACACTCTTCATGAATGGTCTTAAAATGACAGCAGTGATATAACTGCTATTAAGATTAGGAAACTGCTTTTTCTACATCCTTCTGCAGAACGGTTCCTAACAAGGTATGTGTCTTTTGTTAAATATTATACATTGCAGGGTAATTTATAATATAAACCTCTTAGCTGAAAATTTTCTGTATCATTAATGGTCATCATTAGCATTTCATGATCACTAATATTTAATTTCCAAAACTAAACATTAAATAAAATCTTTGTGGAGATCTTTACTCTTAATCTTTATATATTAGAAAATAATATATACATTATAATCAAATAATAATATATATATTTTCTGATATATATATTAGGTAGCATTAGGTAGTACTGTCCTCCCGTTGTTCAATGACTTGCTCAAGCAGGCCCGGTAACGTCTCCATTGTGAGACTTGTTGTTACTGTGTTTGGCATATCCAATACATCACGGGTAGTTTGCCAGGCTCTCCAAGAGGGCCGGAGGAATAGAACCTGGGCCAACCAGGTCGGCCACATGCAAGGCAAACGCCCTACCCACTGTACTATTAGAAAAAGTAACTCAGCTGTTATAACTGTGAGAGTCTTGGTACAAAGAAACTGTATTTTAAAAGAATACTGGCAATTGTTTTATTTATAAAATGTGCCAATGCATTGATTGCAATTCCTAAAATTATTACCTAGATACTATTATCTCTGTTGCTTAGTTAGAAAGACGTGACCAATCAATCACAGCATATTTTTTTCCCATGAGATCAAAGAAGACCTTAAAATTTTTTATCAACTCAGTGCTCCAGTAAGCTACTGCTATTTGATGACAAACTTATTTGTCAAACTGAGTTTTAAAATGGTAGCGTGAAAACATTACCTGCCTCTCTGTGCTATCTAGAAAGTCCGCTCACCGGACCTAAAAGACTAAAATGATCTCCAAGACCATTTTCATGATATTAAATAAAGTGTCCTTTTTTGTCACATTGATTTTCCTAATAAATTTACTCATCATTCTTTATTTTTTCTTTTAATTATTGCATAACTTTAGCACGGATAGGTTATTAACTATAAAAAAAAGTTTGGTATTATCAACAGTGACACAAAAATTTTGTTTCATTGTCTGGAAGTGTACTTCCTTCAACTTCTGCAATTTTTACATTCTAGTTTGTCCTCTCCCTTCAATCAAATTCTGTGTACTTCTTCTTCAAGCCATCCAAAACAAAGCAAATCATATAAAGCCAAACAAAAGAAGCATGCCATTAGTTTGATAATAATTTAAGGAAACCATTTTAAGAGAAGCAATTCATGATGCTGTTTTTTTCTAAATTAAAAAAAAGACAACTTTAATGGTAAAATGACTAATTCACTCAAATGTGAATTTAAGTACAATAGGCAATTCTGAAGTCTTTCCAAAATTAAGTGAAGTGTTTGGGTTTTTTTTTCTTCCACACAGTATCCTCTGCCATTGCACTGATTTTATGGCAATAACCTTGTGTTCTAAGCTTCTAAGTAAATCAACCCATGCAATAAAAATCACATCGTCGGAGAAAAGAGTAAAGTGAAAGCACAGCTAATACCCTGCCTTAAGCAAAATGAGGTAAGCTTGGAGCATGTGCAAAGGAGACGACTCATCTCAACCCATGTGGGATGTGGTAAATGATGGGCTTTGTCTACAAAAAAAACAACATTTCAGAAAGAAATTAACCATCAGGTGTGGGTGGGTAATTAACTCCAAACTGTGCAAGCAGCTCTTTCCTGTGGTAGATTCATTAACTCTTTTAATTAAAAAGTATTTATAGTTGCATAATTTAGGAGTGTCTTTCATATATTTCACAAGATTTCTTGACACTCAGTGAATCCCTCATGATTTCTTTGAAAGGCATTTTTGGATTATATCAACTATTGAGAAGCATATTTACATTTCCAAGTTCTCAAGAAAAATAAATGTTGTGAAATATATAAGTCAAATCACAATACTATCTTTGGAAACTGCACATCTGATAAAGCATCTCCTTAGTTTATCCATTAATTCAGTCACTCATTCACTCAACACCATCCATGCAAGTGGCTTCTCGTAAGCACTGTGCTGAGGAATAGAAGTAGAATACAAAACAAAGGCCCCAGAACCATGGTACAGTAAGTAGGCCTCTTGCTTTATCCCTGACCCAGGTTCAAATCCCAATACCCCATACTTGAGCCATGCCTAAACTTATCGCTGAGTACAGAGCCAGGAGTAATCCTTGAGCACCACCAGGTACTCACCTACTCTCCACCCTCCCCCACCCCGCACTAGCCCCACAAAAAGAGAGAAAAAAAAAGAACATGATTGAAGAGAAATGTTGATCTCTACTTCCAAGAGATTCCCAACTGAGCTGAGAACTGTTCACTCAACGGAACAGTAACTTGAAGTATTATAAAGGTTGGAAAAGGCAGAGTGTGTCAGCGAACAATGCCTTCAAAGGTATATATCACTGATTTCCATTTTTTTAAAAATTTTTTATTAGTGAAACACCATGAGATACAGTTATAGACTTACACATTTTTGTGCTTGGGTGATTTCCATTTTATGGTGGCCATTTTAAATGATACGATGATTTTAGTTTCTATTTCCCCAATGACTAGTGGTGTAGGTATCTTTTCAAACTTGGGTTTTTGTTTTGTTTTTTAATTGATTCATTAATTTTAGTTTGGGGGCTACGTCAAGCAATGTTCAGGGGTTACTCCCGGATCTGTGCTCTGAAATTCCTCCTGGTGATGCTTGGGGGAACATGTGGGATGGGGATTGAACCCTACCCGCTGGACTCACTCTCCAATCACTTGTTTTAGTTTTACTGTTTGGCCCACACCCAGAGGTGCCAGGGACTGCTCCCAGCTCTGTGCTCATAAGTGTCTCCTGGGACATGTGGGAAGGAGGCACCTCCTGCAAGTAGGGCTTGTGTTCAACCCTTTGAGTCATCTCCACTAGCGTGTTTGCCTTTCTTATATCTTGGTTTTTGCTTTTTTGTTCATTTGTTTATTATTTCTTTAGGATGAATTGTAGGAAGAGAATTGCTACCTAGGATATGTGTATCTTCAGCTATGAAGAATATTATCATAAGAACGTTTTTTCCCAAGTGTCTGCAACGGCTTCTACTTCCACCAGTACATAGGAGACACTATCTCCCAAGCAACCCTGGAATATTAGCGTTTTTGTCCATGTTATGTCTATTGTGTTACTGGAGTTTCTGCTTTCGTTTTTCCCAGTAATTGCAGTGAATAGTAATAATTGTAATAATAGCACAAGACATATATTAATGTATTTTTGGCAAATTTGTAAGAGTTCCCTTAAAAAATGCCTGTTTATGTCTTTTGATCTTAAATAATGATAAATAATCTGTTTTTCTTACTTATTGTTTTATAGGGGAGTGAACTCCTTTCTCCATTTTATATCTACCTCTATTTTTCACTAAGACTTATCTTTTCAGGTTTTCTATGTGTAGCACCTTTTTGACAAACAAATATTCTTGCTTCTAACCCTGGTTCAATCCCTGGTACCATCTCTACCTTCCCAGAGGAGTGATTCCTGAACACACAGGTGGCAATGCTGAGAACTCATGGATGTGGTCCCCCAAACAAACCAGATCAAACATGAACAAATGCTTGCAATGTATGGGGCTGAAGTGATTGTACGGTGGATAAGTGTCTAATCTTGCATGTATCCAAATTGGCTTCATTTCCCCGCATCCCATACAGCTTCTGAGCACAACCAGGAGGAATTTCTGAGTAAAGAGCCATAAGTAAGCCCTGAGCTCAGCTGAGTATCCCTCCGCTGCCCAAGATGCTCTGAATCTACTGAAATTTAATGGCCATTATTTCATGCTTAATATTTCTTGCATCTATTCCTCTTTAAATTTATATTTTGCCTATCATGTTCTTTTGGGGCTTTTATCTGAGTGGTCTGCGAGATATGAGCCATGAGGAGAGGCATAATTTAATTCGTGATGGGTACATTATTATCTCAGCATCGTGAGCGAATAAGACTGTCCTCCTCCCACTGTGCTCTGGGGCCACTTTTGTCATAAATCAAATGCCAGTAGGTGTAATGTCTTTTATTTTTCCAGTCTGTGCCCTCTAGTCTAACCTACGTATCTACTTAACTCTATACCAGTAGCAACCCTACATTAATTATTAATACTTTATAATACATCTTGATTGCAGCATATCCATCCTCTTGTTCAATATTTCATGAAAATCTTACTTACTATTGTTCACTTTTCCTCTTTTGTGTGTCTGTGTGGGGAGAGGGAGGGTGGACTCTCCAAAGGGTACTCAGAGGGCTCAAGAATCATTCCCAGTGATTCTCATCTAACCAGGCATGAGACTTAATACGAGAGGTCTAGGATGCTTTGCTGCTCAGGCTGGTGTGTGATGCATGGCCCAGGACACGTAGGATGTGTTTGGGGCCCTCCGGCGATGTCCTGGAACTTGTGAGTCTATATGGTGCTGGGGATCCAACCTGAATCTGTAGCATGCCAGTATGACCCCGAATAAATGTACTCTCCAGCCTCAGCTGAGTTTCTATTCAAAATTTAGAATGAGAATGCCAATATGATGAAAATGTCCTAATAAGCTTTTAATACGGATTTAATTTATATACATGTTGATCTAGATTTATGTTTGTATAAATATATTTTTATCATTTTTTCCCCCTAGACAGCAAGATGGCGGCTGCCTCAGAGCTTTTTGGAAAGCCAGGTATGAGCCAGTGGTGACGGGGCAACTGCAACCTCATGGGAAGGGGAGCGTTCTTGGCTCGTCCTTCATGCCCTACTGAGGTCAAGAGTTGCCCCCCACGAGCGGCTCTCCGGCACGGCCATGGCTCCAGAGCCACAGATACCAATCTCATAATTATCTGGCTCTCAGCAGAAATACTTCCAGGCTTAATAAGTAAAATACCAGAAATCCAAAATTGCGCGGCCATGATAGCGGCTGTGTGACATCACTAGGTTCTTTTGACCAGCTGTGGAAAAAAAAAATTATTTCACAATGCCTTTTCAGCAGGTCTGATTTTGGGGTATAAACTCTAAATAATAATGGTGCATCTTTTGTCGAAACAATGAATCTAATGAATCTAAAAAGTAGATAGAGTTTTAATTATAATTCATCTGCCTCACAGGCATTGGGAGGGGCAGGAGGGGGGTATATTGGGGTTCTTGGTGGTGAAAAATAAGTACTGGTGAAGGGAAAGGTGTTTGATCATTGCATGACCGATATTTAAACCTGAAAGCTTTGTAACTTTCCCCACAGTGTTTCAATAAATAAAAAATAAATAAATAAATAAATTTTTATCTATAAATTACATCCAAGAACCATCTTTTCGATTGAGTATTCTAATAACTAAGCATGGTATTTCTTTCCATTGACTTATAGGTACAACTGATTTAATTGTTTAATACCTTATTTAAAAAGTTTTGCATCTTCTTGTATAGGTCTACTCATCTTAAAATTATTTCTAAGAGAGAGGGGGAAAAAGAATAAAAGACGACAAATTAAAAGAACAAAAAAGATGAGAACGAAGAGGAAGAGAGTAAGAAAGACAGAAGAACACAGTGAGGGAGGAGAGAGCAAATGAGTGAGAAGAGAGGAGGAGAGAGGAGGAAGATGGGCTGGAGACTAGAGGAAGGACTAGGGGGAACAAGGAAGGGACAGTAGGGAGGCAGAGGGGAAGGAGAGAGATTAATTTTGTACTCTGCTCTAGAGTCACAACACTTGGGCTTTGGGTGTTTCTGTTATTTTTAGTGCCAACTCACCATTGCAGTTGCCATTGGACAGAGAATTGAGCAATGTATTTTGTTCACACTGAAAAGAAATATAAAGAAAATTAACTTAAAAGCTTATTTCTGTTCTAATAAAACATTGCTACCTTCTCCGTAAATCTCATATTCAATCATTAATTTTCAGTAACCCTTTTTGAACAACAAGTATAACGCGATTAAAAAGTAATATGGTAATTTCTGTGCTGAGTACGTATAAGCTCAGCAGATAGCTAATATTAGCAACTCAAATCACCGTTTTTTAGAACATCTTCTGCAAGACTATTTTGATTTTTTGATCAAGAATTAAACATTTCTCCTTTTATGTAACATATCTCATCAGCAATTAACCTCATTAACATAACATTTTCCAAGCAAAGATATTGAACAAGGTTAACTATCCATTTGTAATCTCCTAAAATGTCCGAAAAAAATTATTTCTTGTGAAAATGTTACAGAATAAAATTACTCTGTATTTTCAATTAAACTACTCTTAAATTAACAATGCTCAAATGAGATCAACTTCTCAAATGAGTTAATATGACTGTTAATGGTGATGTGATGGAAATTTTCATTTCTTGAGTGTTTACTGTATATTAGAGACTTCAGTGTAATGCTACAAAATCACTAATTTCATTTCCTAAATAAGGTTGAAAAGTTAAGTAACTTGATTAGTCACAAAGCAAGTAAAAACAGGTTACAGCAATGCCCATTCCTTGTTATTTAAAATCAGATGTCCCCCCAACCACTATTTCACACTGCTTCTCCAATGAAATCAATTTTTCTTTTAAAGGATGGTGAGAAATTATCTATATACTCAGTGATAAAGCTAATATATGTTAAGCCAAGAGTTGAAAGTTATTCATTGCACAATTATTTTTCACTTCTAATATCAGATTTCATTTCTCAGGAGATTCAAGCAATATCACAGCAATGAATTGATGATTTAGTCCTTTAAAGGAAAATCAAAGAGTATGAGTTTTATTTCCCTTCTTTAAAAAAATCCCTTGCTGGAGCTGAAGCAATAGCCAAGGAGTAGGGCGTTTGCCTTGCATGTGGCCAACCTGCGTTAGATTCCCAGCATCCCATATGGTCCCCCGAGCACCACCAGGAGTAATTCCTGACTGAAGAGCCAGGAGTAACCCCTGTGTATCACTGAGTGTGACTCAAAAAAGCCAAAAGGAAAAAAAAATCCCTTGCTTTGATCTCATAAAAAATTTCAAATAATCCATGTAAATACTCTACTCCCTAGAAGATGGGACAAAATGTAATATTCTGGGCCCCACATAATAATGTGCTTCTGAAAAGTGAAAAGTGGAAAATTATGACTTTATAGTGGATAAATTTGACAGATACTACCTCATACAGGTAATCAAGCCCAACATCAACTCACTTAATAATCCTGATGAAAAATGAAGAAAGTGAAACACTAAAGATTTATGAACTCAGTTAAGGTCCCAACAGCTCGTGTGTGGAGAACCCACGCAACTTAGTTTTAAGTACATGCTCTTAATCTCGCCAAGGACTAGAGAGTCAAGTCATCACCGAGAGCTCCCTGACACGAAATCATCCTGATGCATGTTTGATCCAATAATTGTTTTAATTGAGAAAGGTCACTGAGAGAAAGGCTGCTGGCATTTTGTTATAATTTATGAAAATGTTGGCATCAGTTAATGGTCCTTTACTTCATTTAGTATATTTTTATCATGTCTAAAATTTAACCTAAAGCAGCCTCCTCTTGGTAGAATGGTCCTTTTGAGCCAGGTGATAACTCAAAGGGCTGGAATGCATGTCGTAGGCCAGAGACCTGGGTTTAATTCTCCAGCTATTCAGGGTATCCAGCACACTAAAATGACAGACACTAAAACGGCACTAAAATGCCAGAGCTCACTCCTGGGCAAGGCCAAGCATATCCCACCATAAAACAACACATTAGCTACACATTGTATTATTTATTCTTCTAATAATTACATTACTGGTAAAACTGTCCATCACACATATTCTAGAGAAAGTAATGGTTGAAAATGGTTAACTAAAAGCTAGGTAGAAGAAACAAATAGAGAATATAATATAATCTCCTTTGTGGGAAAGGAGAACTCTGAACTTTTATTATATATATGATATTTTATATGTATTAAAATAAGATAATTTAGGGGTATCACAAAGAAAGGTTATTCATAGTTTGATGTATCATAAACAGTTACCCATACCTTGCTGATATCAAGTAGCTGGTTGCTGGCATTTTCATTTTGAATGATATTCATCATATCCATATGAAACTTCTTTGCATTCAAGAAAACAAGTGGATTGTTTATGGAGATAATCTTCACCCGCTGCAGGATTTCCTTTTGAAAGAAAAAAACGGAATCAACTCAGAGTTGTGAATAAAAAGAAAAAAGGAAAAAAAGGAAACCCAAATTCAAATGCATTTAATCATGGCAACAATACCAACTTTGACATTATTAAAACACATTTGAAAAACAATACTTCATTGTACTTCCTATTACAAGATACATACTTCCTCTTTAGTTAAGTAAAATAAAAACATAAGGTTCAGGACCAAAGAGAGTACAGTAGGTAAGGTGCTTGCTTAAATGAAGCTGACCTAGGTTCAATTCCTGGCACCAAAAGTGGTCCTCTGAGCATTGCCAGGAGTGACCCCTGAGCATACAATAAAGAATATGACATGATCACAGCCAAGAGTAGCCCTCAAACCAAAATAATAATAATAATAATAATAATAATAATAATAATAATATTTATAGCCTTTTTTTCCATTTTCTTTTATCATTAACAGTTAACACATAAAGAATAACAGGAAATTCCATTTTCCAAAATCTCTATGTTCCACTCAACCTAATTTTTTTTTTAATTTTATTGAATCACCGTTAGTTATAAGCTTTCCTATTTGGGTTACAATCACACAATGATCAAACCCCCATCCCTCCACCAGTGCACATTCCCCACCACCAATATCCCCGGTATACCCCCCCTTTCCTGCCCTCCCCCTGCCTCCATGGCAGACATGATTCCCCATACTCTCTCTCTACTTTTGGGCATTGTGGTCTGCATAAGACCCTGAGAGGTTATCATGTTTGGTCCTTTATCTACTTTCTGCACACATCTCCCATCCCGACCGATTCCTCCAGCCATCTTTTTCTTAGTGATCCCTTCTCTATTCCAGCTGCCTTCTCCCCTATGCTCATGAGGCAGGCTTACAGCTATGGAGCAATCAGTTTGTATGAAAGAATGAGTACTTCAAATCTTGCTATATTTTAGTCTTTTCCCCTTGCTTTTGAAATAAAACACTATAGAACTCAAGCTATAACATTGTGGTAAAGGAACATTTCCACAGAACACAGTTGTTTTTCAGAAAGGACACTAAAATGGAAGAAAAGTCCTACCAACTCTCTTTTTGATTCTCCTAGTATCTAACCTGAGAGAAATGGAGAATTATAGAGTATTAACTAATATTCTTTAAGCTAGATATACTCAAAGTCAAATTTTATTCCTAAGTTAAGAGAGATAAGGTTTATACCCATTACTCTGATACTCTTAGCTTAACTCTGGTTAGTGTATGTGCAGAGGTCGATAGGGAACCGAGACAGTCTGCAAACTATGACTGGGGCTTGTTCCCAGCACTGTGCTCAGGGATCACTCCTGGCGGACCTCAGGGGACCATCTGGGGGTGCCAGGAATCAAACCTGGGTCAGCCATGTGCAAGGCAAGCGCCCTGCCCACTGTTCTATTGCTTCACCCTTGAAAATTATGTTGAATGTGATAACAAAATAGGACGTCCAATTTATTGATTCAGGGTTTTCGGCATAGTTTAATCCTGTCCCTGTCACATACGTGAAATGCTACTTTGGGGATATAGGTTTGGGGCCATAACTACCTGTACTCAGGGCTTCCTCCTAACTCTGTACTCAGAATCACCTCTGGAAGCTGAGAGGACTATTAACCAGTGCCAGAGAGCAAACAGGAGTCAGATGCATGCAAGGAAAGCACCTACACCCAAGGACTAGCTCTCCAGCCCTTTGAAAGGCTTCCTCTACAAATTAACTCTCTCTCTCTCTCTCTCTCTCTCTCTCTCTCTCTCTCTCTCTCTCTCTCTCTCTCTCTCTCACACACACACACACACACACACACACCACACCACTAAGACAAGAGTACAATCTGTTGCACTCTCCCAGTATCGTTGCCACCAACAAGCACCAAATGTACTTTGATAATTAGGAAGGTCAAATCCTCCATTACTGCATTCCAAAACACTTTGGGGCTATCTTGCATCAATATTTTTCAAGACAAATCTTAGAAGGAGTGTGTTAAATCCTAAAACATATTAAAGATGCGGGACTGGAGAGAGCTCGGTGGCCTAGAGCACATGCTTTGCATGTTGGAAGCTCAGGTTCAATCCCTAGTACCACATGGTCCCCTGAGTACTGCCTGGCTCAAATACCGGCACATACAAGTACATTTATGTATGGATATGCAATGCATACATTAATTTAGGGAAACTTGATTTTTAATTAAAGTGATCTTATTAAAAAATAAATAAAAGAAGGAAAGAATGGCAAGGCAAGAAAGGGAAAGATAACATTGAGAATTTGCACGAGACACACTGAAACAAACCTTTCATATTTATTCAAAACATAAGGTGATTCCTCTGAGGTGTTGCAGAGAAATGCCTGCTAATACTTCCTATGCCTCATCTACTCAGAAATATAGTGGCACTGTCCCATGGGGGGTGGGGGAGGAGGCTGTTCTCTCTGTCCCAGGGGCAATCACGAAGTACGTAAACAAGTAAACGTGAAAAATAAAGTTGGAGAAGGGACATGCATCCAAGCATTTACAAAGCAGGTTCTAAGGGAGGACATTTCTTTTTAATGGCCAAAAATTCAAGTCAACATCTTTCCCCCTTTTCCCCTTTAGACTAATTTTAGTCATCTTTCAAATCAAGAAATTAGAAAATAAATTAATTGGTCTGCCAAAGGACAAAGTAAGACATTTTTTATAAGTTTTCTTAAAAAGGCGTTCTTTGTGGAAAAAAATCAATCCAACTGAAACTTCATAATAAACATAATTATTGCCCTTTACTAATAAATCACCCTCATTGGCTTCATTTGGGGATGTAGACAGGCAATCCTATTATCAGCTTTGTTTTATTGCTTTTTTCAATTTTTCTCTTCACTATTTGATAACTCTTAGTTTAGCTTGACTGTGCAAGGCAACTTAGTAATGATACAGAGGTTTCATTATCGCTCCAGAGGGCTGGAGCGATAGCACAGAGGTAGGGCGTTCGCCTTACAAGCGGCCAACATGGCCGACCCGAGTTCGATTCCTCCGCCCCTCTCGGAGAGCCCGGCAAGCTACCGAGAGTATTCGATATGCCAGACACAGTAACAACAAATCTCCAATGGAGAAGTTACTGGGCCCTCGAGCAAATCGACGATCAACATGAGAACCTTTACCTTTACAGAGGTTTCCAAATGCCTGAACTAACCTGAACCATGATTCAACTGTACAGTTCTCTTACCCTTTTTCTCATTCTTAGGATGATATAATATTTTGTTGACTTGATGGATAGTAATTATAATTTATATATCACTATAAGTTTATAGTGATTAAAAATAAGTTTGCTATGTTTTTTCAATATCACAAGTTATCCACTGCTTCTGATATCTTCAAAACACCTAGGCTGGCAAAAGTTGTTAATAATTTCAAAAAAAGGAATAAAACTACTAAACTTACTCCATCTGCTTCGGTCTTCACTTTAAATTCCATTTCTTTTATGTTTTTAATACTCAGCGTATTTGATCTAAGATTAAAACAGAAAATAAAATGTCATTATTTTATACTTCCATGTTCATTTTATTTTTCTTTATTTACTTGTGGGGGCAAAGAAGTTGAAAAATCTGTTATTTCTTTGATAAACCACATTCATTATTATATGTAACTTTAAAATAAACAAAAATGTATGCATAATTCTTCATTGCATAAGTAATGATCACTCTTAATTAAGATATAAAGTATCCATGATTATCCTTAGGAAAAAAACCGATAAACCATTTCCAGTGACTTGTACTCCATAGAGTATTATTATTTACACTTCTATTGATTTATTTTTTTAAAAAAATTGAATCACCATGAGATATACAGTTACAAAGTTGTTCATGATTGGGTTTCGATTGTACAATATTCCAACATCCTTCCCTTCACCAGTGTACATTTCCCACTGCCAATGTTCCAAGTTTCCCTCCCACCACCATTCCATTCCTCACCCCCAGCCTGCCTCAGTGACAGACACTATTCTTCTCTTTCTTTCTCTCTCTCTCTCTCTCTCTCGCTCGCTCATTCACTCGCTCTTTCTCTCTCTCTCCTTTTGAGCATTATACTTTGAATTACAGGTCCTGAAAGGTGATCATGTTTATCCCTTTACCTACTCTCAGCACTCAGCTATGTCCAGAGTGATCATTTCCAGCTATGACTGTCATAGTAGACTTTATTGTAACTACCTCCCCCACTCCATCCCCTGTAGCAAGCTTCCAACCATGGACCAGTCCTCCTGACCCTTGTTTCTACTGTCCTTGGGTATTAGTCTCCTATTATGTTTTCATATCTATTATATTAACAAGGAAGACCAAAAGTATACATTATTTTATCTTAACTAGACTCTGCATAAAACAGTTCTAATGCTAAATCCTGACTGCCCATAAAACATCAGAAATCTATGTTTCTGGGAGCTGGAGAGATAGGACATCAGGTAAAGGACTTGACCTTCATCTGATCACCCTGAGTTCAATATCTGGCATCCATATGATTCCCGTGATTCCCCCAGACATTGCCAGGAACAATCCCTAAGCACAGAATTAGGAATAAGCTCTGAGCACCACCAGATGTGTCCTCAAAATAAAACAAAACAAAGATATGTTCCTAGGATCCTCATACCATACATACGAGGTTAAAATATATATGCAGGTTTTTTCCAGATTCTAGCTATTGTAAACAGTGCTGCAATGAACAAACAAGTGCAGATGTCACTTCAACTATACTTTTTTGCCTCTCTGGGATATATTCCCAGGAGTGGTATTGCTGGGTCAAATTCATTGCAGCACTGTTTACAGTAGCTAGAATCTGGAAAAAAAACCTGAGTATCCAAGAACAGATGACCGGTTAAAGAAACTTTGGTACATATACACAATGGAGTACTATGCATCTGTTAGAAGAGATGAAGTCATGAAATTTATATACAAGTGGTACTACATGGAAAGTACCATGCTAAGCGAAATGAGTCAGAAAGAGAGGGACAGACATAGAAAGACTGCATTCATCTGGGGAACATATAGTAACAAAATAGGAGACTAACACCCAAGAATAGCCGAGATAAGTATCAGGAGGATTCCTCCATGGCTTTGAGGCCAGCTGCACATGCTAGACAAAAAGGCAGCTCAGATAGAGAAGGGAATACCAAATAAAGGGTATTGGGAGGTTCCTCCCAGGATGGGAGATGTGTGATGAGAGTAGACTATAGACAGAACATGATTGCCACTCAATGTCTCTTTTGCAAACCACAGCACTCAAAAGGAGAGAGAGAACAAAAGGGAGTGCCCTGCCACAGAGGTAGAGTGGGATGGGGGTAGATGGGGGGTGGGAGGGATACTGGGATCAGTGGTGGTGGAGAATGGGCACTGGTGGAGGGATAGGTATTCACAATCATTGTATAACTTAAACCCAAGCACAAAAATTTGTAAATATACATCTGTACCTCATGGTGTTTCACTAATAAAAATTTAAAAATAAATAAATAAAAATAAAAAAATAAAATGTTTAAGCATGCATAACAAGTCTGCGAACTATAGTCTGAGGGTTTTGTAAAGCTAGTCACTTTTTGGTAAATAAAGTTTTATTTGAACACAAAAAATAAAATAAAATAAAATATATATGCAAGATTTAGGAATTTATCTCATCTTGGTTCTAAGAAAGACAGGTCTCCAAGAATCACAGTGTTTCTTACCTTGAGAAGCGACCAATCACGATAGCTATGGTACCCACAACGCCGAACAGCAGCCCTATATTGGCAGCGAAGCATATTGTAAATACATATGTACTGACCCAGATGCCCTGAAAAAGAAACAGGAAGCAGAGGGTGAGTCTATTGGTATCTTCACCTCCCCCATGATTGCTAAATACCTCTCCATCCCAGGCTACTGCATTCCAGTAACCAAATCTCCCAGCAAGCGTATATTATTTAAGAGCGGTAGACAGAAGCTCCCAAAGTAAATCTTTGTCCCTGAGAAGAGGTAGGATAAAGGCACGTCCCTTTATTTCCAGACACTGTATACCTTGAGTTCACATCCAGCAAACATACTGGAACACATCTGTAAATGCTGGCTAACATCTGTTGTTCAAGAGCACACTCTATATTTTTATGTTAGCTATGGTGTGCTGACAATACTTTGGAAAGGTGAAAAACTGAACCCCTAAAACATATATAGTTATCTAAAGTAATGCCAAAACAACAGGAAAGCATGCCATAATTTCTGTTTTCTCATTAAATGTAATAATATAGGTTATTGTTTACAGATTTATTTTTATTATTCCCAACATCATTCTGTTTGGGGAATTGCTAAGAGAAGTAATGTAACTTATCACTACAAAAAACTCTGCTAGGCTAATGTTAAAATTACTGAATCCAATACAACCAATGTCATTAGAAAGAGCACTACCATTTTATCTATGAACACTTACTTTTAAAGAAATTCTGGGAGTTAAAAAATAAAGCCAATATAGATCTTGGTATATTTCAAAGTATTACAAAGAAATTCTATTTCTCCTCTACTTGGAATTCCAGTGTTATTACAATCCACAATCTGAAATTTTACTTTACAACTTGCAATAAGATATTATAGTTGGTATTTCTAAGCCAGTTCTGGAAAAAATATCTTTAAAAGCAAAATAATTCATGAAATCCGAAAGAGTATATTTCCAAAATACAAAATGCTGTATTTATCAAACAGTAGATCAACAAAATTTGAAACTCTCTTTTACCTCAAGTTATCTACAGCACTCTACATGTCCAATTCTAAATTGATTTTTCTATGTTATCATTTACAACATCTTCAATCACACAATTCAATTCCATATGCAAATAAAAGAGAAACTTCACAATATAATCTGAAAATAGCGGATTCTTGGAGGGGGGTTGTAAGGTTTTTCTTCCAGACAAGTTTGAAACAAACCTTTCAGAGGGTACATTTTATTTGAAATGCTTGCTACTCTATTGTCTGTGCAATTCATCTACACACAAGTTGAGTGGTTCTTAATGATGGGCTGTTTTGAAAAGCTAAGCCCTTGAAAGCAAATGAAGGGAGTTTTATCTGTAAATTTTCTTTTGAGAGAGCAGGCACAAACATTCTGAAGTAAAGGAGAAAGTGTATTTAAAATGTTCTCATGTTAAGACCTATCACCTCCAAATGTATCGCTCAATTTGCACAGAATATCATATCATACTGGGTTTACCATCTAGCAGCTCAGGCAGTGAAACGTTTTCCCTCTGTTCAGAGTCATTTAAATCCTCTGATGGAGAGAGCGGTTCTTTTCCTTCCTAATGTCATTGCACTATATGGGAACATATGCAAATTAAGGCTTTAAGTTTTGAGCGTCTTTTTTGTGTGGGGGGAGGGGAGGCTAGAGCCATGCCCCCTTTACTATCTGCCCAACCCCAGGATGAAAGTTGTTGATCTTTCCTTCCAGATGCCATGATTATTCCACCTCTTAATCGTCTCCGAGTGCTAACTGAATCTGTCTGAGTATGGCAAAATAATACATCACCAAAAGCTTTCTAGGTACAAACCCTTCAATCTTCATGATTCAATACAGCAGAGGGAACCGAGGATTCTGGTCCTGCTGTTAAAGCAACACACACACACACACACACACACACACACACACAACAGAGCCTGAAGGCCAAGATTCATCAGAGCAACCAAAAATTTTGGTACCATCTGGTTCTATTTTTAAAGCATATTTTGCTTTAAAACAACATCATCTATTGTAAAAACAGCTTACAATGCTTACTCATTTCCTAGGGCTACAGTTATAAATCGAAAAAAAAATCAGATGGAAATTAATAACACAGATCAGTAAATAGTTCCATCGGTCAGAGAACATCCCCACTCTCTTCTGTAACAATTCCCCTTAAATATTCAAATGCTGATTGTCACAGTAATAAGAAAAGTTGGCTTTTGGGTCCCCACCCCATTGTAGGTTCCTGCCTGATCCCTTCCTCATTTGGCACTCAAAGCCCCCAAATTCAAACTAACCTTAAGGTGAGCTAAGTAGAGACCATATAAAACTTGTTTCTTACAGAAAATGAATTACAGACCCAGCAAATAATGTTATATTGTAATGTTACTTCATTTTTAAGTGTATTTGAAAAAAACGCATCCGTGGAAAGCACGGCTTAATCACGCCACTGCTCCCGCCCCCATGGAAACTTATGTGTTTAGGTTTATTAAACTTCTCTAGGTATGAATTATGTTCCTGCTCTTAAGTTACTCAAACTCATTTCTGAATCCATGACCCAAGACTCTAGCGAGGATGCCTACCTCTTTCCTTATTTTGTCAGAGAGTACTGGCCTACAATTCAAAAATCAAATTGTTAAAATGTAAAACAGTAATTAAAGAAATAGTGTTTGTAGGCTTTGTGAGAAGAGAGCTACACCCATCGGGGCTCTTACTGAGTTTACGCTCTGGAGTGACCTGCTGGTACTTAGGGGACCAATGTTCCATGCTTGTTGGGGACAGAGATCAAAGGGGACTTGACCACAAACAGGGCGAGTAAGTCACCTCCCATATTAGCTCTCCAACCTTCACAGTTTCTGCGTTTTGAAGTCAAGAATACTTCCAAAATTTTTTTCAGTTTTCAATTTTAAACTGATTTCATAGACAAATATCCCTTTGGTAAATGTATTTCTATGATATTTTTAATTTGTTTAATCTCTTGAGTAATCAAACATGCTGTTTATTGCATAATATGGCCCATATCCCCAAAAGTTTATTATTCTCACTCTAAATATTCTACCCTAGTCTTATTCTAATAAACCACAACTTTGCATTTCTCTGCAACTAAGGGGTATCTGTCCATTTGTCCATTTCAAGTATAGGGCATAAATTCATGCTACACTCAGGTAACCATTGTATCATCATTCTTCTACTATATATATATCTAATTTTTTATCCTTTCTTCATGCCCACACCACAATCCAACTTATTCCTAGTTATTCTACTATTTAAAGTATATTTACTTATCACCTTGAAGGAGGAGTTACGAATTATTAAAACATTTTTTCATACCATCTACCCAATAACTCCAACTGAGCACCACTAGCTCACAAACAAAAGCAAAAACAAAAAACAGAACTCTGTGATGTTCGCAGAATTCCCTCAGTCTACCTATCCACCTATTTTCAACTTTTCCAAACTATATTGCTACTGCTATACTTAAACTAGATACATCCATGTTCTAGCCTTTATTTCCAATAATCCTTCTCTGACAGCTGTCCTCCTTATGTAGTAATTATCTCTTCCATTATGATCAAAGAGTTCTTTAGGAACACCTTCATCATCGGGTTGTCAAGTAGCTGGTTAAAAGTTTTCATAGTCTCATTTTCTTTTTCTCCTTCATGAATACCAACATTTATAAGACTTCATCAGTTTAATTTTGACCTCTGCCTACCTGTCGAATACTGCTCTCTTGGACCCCCAATCACATTTCAGGTTTGCCCTAAGAGTTTTTTCTATAAACCCAGTCCAAATGGAAATCTACTTTTCCCAGAACTGAGCTTGTACTTTTGCTTGCAGATTATGTTGTATCGCATCTTGCACAATAAGTTAGTGTATCATGTGTGATTCTTCCACAAATATGTATGAGGAAGACAAATCATTGACTTTTTTAATTCCTTGTGGTACCTGGCATTGCATTCTGGAAGTAGCTTAGTGATGCTGAGGTATGGAAAAAGCATTAGGAAAGGGGCCACGAGTGCAAGTCATCTGCCAATGTCCCTTCCAGCACAATATGGAAAGAAGCAAGAATACACGTATAAGATATATTTCAGTATGCTGAATGCCATACATAGCTGAGGAACAGGTTCTCATGAAGTACTTTGTCCACTTTGGAGATAGAGTGAACTCTGAACACTCTAATTCTATTTCTCAAGAATAAGTGTTAGATGTTTTCTGTTGAGAAAAGTCACACTTGAGGCCTGAGCAATAGTACAGCAAGTAGGATGTTTGTCATGCACACGGCTGATCCAGGTTTAATTTCTGGCACCCCATATGGTCCACTGAGCCCAGCCAGGAGAGATCCCTGAGTGCAGAGCCAGAAGTAAGCACTGAGTACTATCAGGTGGAACCCAAAAATATAAAGTCACACTTTATCACTCTACAGCTTAATGTAATCTGTTCAAAACCATATTCTGTTACATACTGCCTCTTCTTAAAGTGCTCATTTAAAGAAAACTCATCACAGCTGTGAAATCAGGGTTTAGCCCTGGTCTTATCCTTAAGGGATGCTCCTCGTGGTTCTCAGATTATGCAGTGCTGAGCATCAAACCTGGATCTCCTCCATGCAAAGCAAAATATGTGCTTACTTTTTTGTATTTTGAAGAAATATGCTCACTATTAAGATGTTCACCTTGTGGGGTTGGAGAGATAGCACAGCGGGTCGAGCGTTTGCCTTGCATGCGGCCGACCCGGGTTCGATCCCCGGCATCCCATATGGTCCCCCAAGCACCGCCAGGAGTAATTCCTGAGTGCAGAGCCAGGAGTGACCCCTGAGCATTGCTGGGTGTGACCCAAAAAGGCAAAAAAAAAAAAAAAGATGTTCACCTTGTGTTGATACCACATACATTTCTTAAAGTTAATGCTGGCTTTTTTTTTTCAAATTGAAACGAGGTCTATTTAATTTTTTTTATTTTAATGAATCACCATGAGATACAGTTACAGATTTACAACCTTGCATAATTGGTCATACAATGTTTGAGTACCCATCCCTCCACCCGTGCCCATTCTCCATCACCAATGTTTCCAATATTCCTATCCTGCCCCTAACCCTTTCCCTCGCTGTTCCCGCCCCCCCCCCCCTTCTGTGGTAGGCATATTCCCTCTTACTCTCTCTTCTTCTGGGTGTTATGATTTGCAATACAGGTACTAAGTGGCCATCACGTTTAGTCCGTTGTCTAAATACTGGTTTTTCGTACATGTGGTAAATGAACATATGTATACTAATATGTACTTCCATGGTTAGTTTCCCTTCCAGACTCGACACATGCAGGAAACTGGCAATTCACAATCTGCTTAAGTTAGCCAGAGTTGAAACATTCTCAAAGGTATTCTTCATTATTTGATAAAATTTCTTTTCTCTTTCTTAACATTTTACATTTAATGATTTAATCAAGAGCTTGGAAAAATAAATTGCCATTTGTAAGATGTACAAATTCCAAATGAAACTGTCATCTGAGTTTGGGAGAGGGTCCTGAGCATCACTGTGTATACATTCAGGTCGAGAGCAGCACTGAATTCTCAGGCCTGAGCTGAAGGCCTCACTGAGTCAGTGCCCCGGAAATGACCCCTGAGCCCCCAGCCCTGTTTGGGTAGGACCTCCTCACCCCAAACGGAAAAAAATCTATTTCCTGCAAGTAAAACTCTTGGAGCTTATTTGGTAATGTGCTTAAGCAAAAGGGGAAAGTGTGAAGTCAAACTTCTACTTACCCAATCGATTTTATCCACATTCCAATACTTTTTCAAATCCCGAAACTGTATTAACATTCCCTTCAGCCCCACGACAATGATACTGGCAAGAACACACTACAAATTAGAAATTAATTGAAAAAGAAGCAAGATAAGCATGGTTATTGGAATTTTTTAAGAAGAGAAACTTTATTTCATCATTTAAAAAGTGCTTACTAGAGAGAAGCAATCACCATTTAGAAATTAAAGTCATATTCATTTATTCAGATTTAAGCTCTCGCTGTTCTCTGGGAATATAACATCAATTCTAGAAAATCAAAGGGTAAAACTTATGCCATTCTATAAAAAAAACCAAACTAATGAATTAATTACAGAGCGAATGTCATAAAGCTGAATGTTCCCTTAACAATTCACTTCACTTCCACTTGTTTTCAAATCACCTGTTGAAGAAATTGAACACTTCTATCGTGTGTCTCATTTTAATTTATTGGAATATTAATGATGTGCCTTCACCTGAAGATCCTTCTAATTCTTTTGAATAGTAAACTTGATTACTGAAAGATTCTTCTCATAACATGAATGAAGAATTACAGTGAGAAAGGAGTTATGCCCTTTGTGGCTCTCTGAACCCAAGGATTCTTGTGTCACTGTGAGCTCAAGATCATGAACGACAGGGAACGCACCACTTCCCCTGGTCACTTCATGAGGGGCGATATCAAGGTCTCTCTCTCTTTTTTAAAAATTGAATCACCATAAGATACCCAGTTACAAAGTTGTTCATGATTGGGTTTCGGTCATACGATGTTCCGACACCCGTCCCCTCACCAGTGCACATTTCCCACCAGCAATGTCCCCAGTTTCCCACCCTCTCGCCCACCACCCCCACTCCACATACAGCCTGCTTCTCTGGCAGGCAACTCTCTCTCTGATCCTCCCTTTCCCTCTCCCTCTCTCCCCTCTCTCTCCTTCTCCCTCTTCCTCTCACCCCCTCTCCCACTCCTTCCCCACCTTGGGGAATTATGCTTTGCAATACAGGTACTGAAATGTTATCATGTATATCCCTTTACCTCTTCTCAGCACTCAGCTCTTGTCTAGAGTGGTCATTCCCAACTATCATTATCATAGTGGTCCCTTCTTTATCCTAACTGCCCTCCCCCACCCCTCAACCAGTGTCACGCTTCCAACCATGGACCAGTCCTACTGACCCTTGTTTCTACTGACCTTATCAAGGGTCTCTTGCTCCACACACTTTTCCTACAGTCTGAGTTCTCATAAAAATTCTTTTGAAGTCTCTTCTCATTCTCTCATGTCAGAAACTACCTATTTCGCCCCCCTTCCCAAATAATCACAACATAAACCTAATTCCATCATGATATTTTCATAAGAGAAACAGGAGTCATGGTACCCTCCACTTCCTCCCCTTTCCACGTTATCTCATTCAGTCAGACTACGTCATCTGTTTTTTCAAATGTTAAATCATCAAGGCTAAATGAGACCTGGTAATATGCAATGACTCTTATTAACAGTAAAGTTAAAAAGTAGATTAGAAAACACAAAACAAAACTACTATACCATGGGCAGCCAGTAAAGCAAAGGTCCTATTGCATAGATGACGATCAGGACAAAAATGCAAGAAATCAGACAAGCCACCTGTAGAAGATAAGAAAGACAAATAAATAAATAGATCCTGAATTTTCCCATTTTTCCACAGAGCCAAGTGGCTAGAAGGAAGATCACTCTTTTAGTTCATCTTGATTAGAAGACACAGAATCAAACGTGGGCCCATGACTGTTCAATTGCGTAGACTATCATTATCTATATTTTGCAGCTGAGGGAGCCCAAATGTGACAGCTGACAAAATGAGGCAATAAAATCAAGTTCAAGATGAGAGGAAAACCATTCCACACAAAGAAATAGGACACAATCAACTTTTATCACACATCACAGCAATAGCTTTTTTTTTTTAAAGTTTTGTTTAATAGTAAAAGTGACATTTCAATTAAAAGTCCCCTCACCCACTGTTCAGCCTTCCTCCTCATTTACTAGGAAGTTATTTGGGCAATAATTGACTCTCAGCTTAGGTTTTTTTTAAAGCTTTTTTTCTGTGTTGATAATGAATTTCCAATAACTCTCTTCTTTGGAGTTCTTCATTAGTAAGGGCTCCAGTGAGAAGCAGAGATTATGAGAGCAATCTCTGGCAATGAAACATTCCATTTTCTTATCCTGAAAGGGGATTAGTATCATCCTGAAAGGGGATTAGTATCATGTTCTAACTAACTCAACCTGCTCACTAAGGCCAAACAAAACGCCTGACTCTTAGCTCTGATCAACTTAGTAAAGGACCCAATTTCATATAAGCAAACATTTGTGACTTAATACAAATATTTGACCAAACTATTAACTTTGCAAGAGTGGAGCGGGGGTCTCATTCTCCTAACCCTGAAAGAGCCTTGAATGTGGCACTTTTTAAAAAATCTCAGGGCTAGGACGAAGGAGACGTTACTGAGGCCTGCTCAAGGCAATCGACGAATAACAGGGTGGTCGTGATTGTGATCGGGGCGGGGGGGGATGGCAGGGGTTTTCACAGGATTCTAAAGAGGGATTCCATATTACCATGGACATAATGAAAGGAATCAAGAACCTATTAAGTTGGTTAAAATTCAAAGTAAACATATAGACAAAAACATCCAATAATATTAAGGCTAGGAAGCTCTCAGACATTGCTGCTGGGATTGTGCTATGAATTAACCACTCCAATAACAGTCCATCAGCTTCCTTCAAAGTATGCATAAACTTACCAACTTTTCTAGAACTATCTAAGAGATAGACAATGTGTGTCATACAAATGCATGCACGTGGATATTAATATTAGTTTACACATTGTTGGTTGATAACAGAAGCTAAAATAACTATTGTTCAACAGATGGTAGATATTTTTAAAGGTCATATATATTATATTATATATAACATATAATATAATATACATGTATGTTATATTATATTTAAAATAAGCCTCTATTTAGCAATGAATAACAAAATAACAATTATTGGTACAAGTAACTCATAGATAAAATTAAACACCATTAAGACAAGTAGAAACTAGACAACACTTCCTGTGTATTTAGTCAAACTATCAGCAGTACAGCCACATACATAGAAGGTAATCAAACTTTTCTGTGGGTCTTGTGATATGAGTTGAAACGCATGGACCTGGATGTGCAAGGCATGTGCCCTAACCCGGAGCTGTGTCCCTAGTCAGGAATCAATCATATTTTAAGTGCTGAAGAGCAACATGGGGCTGCTTGAGAATTTAAAAACACTTTAGTATATATGAATGAATGGCAAAATCTTTCAACTTTTTGGAAAAAATCAGGTTAAAATGCTTGAATCTGAGTCATAAAATATGTTGATCATGTAATACCAAGTGCTTTGGTCAATGTTGCACGCATATTTTTAGCCTCTCTGTGTAAAAGACCCTTTTTACATGATTTCCTTTCAGATAGAGCCTCTAGAGCATGAACCCCTATGAGTAAGAGAATTTTTTTTTGCTTTTAGGGTCACACCTGGCGATACACAGGGGTTACTCCTGGCTCTGCAATCAGGAATTACCCCTGGCAGTGCTCAGGGGAACATATGGGATGCTGGGAATCGAACCCGGGTCGGCCACATACAAGGCAAACGCCCTACCTGTTGTGCTATCGCTCCAGCCCCATGGAGAATCTTGATGCTGCTGAACAAGTGAATGTTGCAGCATTCTGTTCCATACTCACTCTAAAGGCTGTTCATCTTGAACAATCATAGTGAAAAACTCTAATTGTTGGGCAGATTAGTAACCATCCAAACCAGCAGAATAGCACAAAAATACTTTTCTGTTGGGCTTTATTTCCTTGACTGGGAGTTTTGTCAGACTTGTTTCATATCTTCCGAAGTCTGAGGAATTGAAGACTATGCAAAGGTCTCTCTAAATGAAATGTTCTTAGAAAAGTTGCATTAGTGCCTTCACTCAGAACAGAGATGAGACAGTGAACCTCTTCATCTTATCCGAATAGTCATATCAAAGGTTCCCTAACTCAAATGAGAAATAAGCATTACAGGTTTTCCCAAAATTATCTCTCCCTGAAATGTTCAATGCTGCAAACCACAAAATGTAATCAGTTTGTCTTGTTCTTACCAAAACCATATTTAGTAAAGCAGGCAATGCCTTTAAAAAAAAAAAAAGACAGAATATACTCAAGATGGGAGAAATCGCACAGATTCAATGTCAACCTTCACTGTTCACTGGTGGATGAAGGTAATAACATGCAAATTGGAGGAACAAATTTTACCTCAAAATAGCCTCGTTCCGGTCCAAATAAACCAGTTCTTTCAGGTATTAAATATTTTTGAATGCTCTAAAACTTTTACTATAATAAAATAGTTAAATGAGTGATAATTGTTAACATTGAAAGAGCAATTATTTGGTGCTCATATATGTCCGAGACAAGCATTTATTAAATCACTTAATTGTCCTAATGATTACATTAGGCTAAAAGGTTAACTGTACAAAGTCAGTCCACACGTGGTGGAGACAAGCCCAGTACTGAGCCACTTCCTGTTCTTACCTGCATAAGTACACACACTCATGTGAGCACAGAGAGGCTTTCTCTGCACTCACATGAAGAAAGCAAGTAAAAACTTCTATAGGTTCCTGGAATTTTATAGTTGCAAGATCCCGCGGAGTAAGAAACGGTACTTGGGTACCATTTGCATTAATTCAAATTTAGATTCTAATCATTTGAGATTTAAGCATATAAACAGTTTGCTGAAATATTTCCTGGTGGTCCACATGCTGGATTTATGCCTGACATAATTAACTGTAAAATTCAATCACATTTTTATGAGAATTTCACATCTTAGTTGAAGAGTTGTGGCAGCCATATGTCAAATTATGATGCACTCAGAATTAGTTCTTGCCCTCTATTCAATGCCCTCTTCATCAACCACTTTATATGTTTGTTTTATGCTTTATTTGAATGTCTATTTACCTTTAATTTTCTTGATATGTACCTGCACGGTCAAGAACCACATTCATTTCACATGTATTCTTCTGCAATTCTTTAAAATGACTAAGTGTGCAATCCTAATGTTTGATAAATTCACATTAGATGCTGAATAAACATGAATCGTTTCTATAACGATTGGCTACAAATATTAGAGTCTCACCTTAAAACATAAATGAATTGTAGAGAAAATAGGTTAATGTGTAAGATTTACAGTAAATCTACCTGAATCTAACTATGATCCTGATAAGTTAGTTTACTAATTTTCTCTGCAGCTTTCTCATGTGGAAACTGAATAATGATTCCATGTCCTTTAGAGCTATGTGGTTGTGTATAGTGCTAGATAAAATGTTTGAGACACATGCCTCACACCTAATCCTATATGTGCTTCCATAATTATCACCACCCGATAATCATCACAGCAACATTGTCTTTGATGTATCTTACCAATACCTAGCAGAATATCTAATATATTGCAAGCTTTTAATAAATGACGTCATTTGAGTTCCAAAAAACAAACTATACATTCTCCTTAAATTAAGATGTACAGACATATTATATACATGACTATATGCATGTCTCTATACATAACAGTACCAAGGACTTTTTGTGCATAACTGGTCAGATATCAAATACCAATTATTTTCTTGAAAGGGGTACAAAAATGAAGACAGTTCAAATTGGTTAGCTTGTCACAACAACAACAAAATCAGGATGACCACTAGAGGGAGCTTTGCTTCAACATTTGCTAGTGGAACATTCCGACGGAATTTGGGGATGCTCCCGGCATCACTTGACTGGAGGGATGGATGGTTCAGAAGGAAAATAAAGACGCCAAAGGGGCCAGAGCAATAGTACAGCGGGTAGGGCGCGTGCCTGGAACGCCACCAACCCAGCTTCAATCCCGGATACCCCGTAGGGTCCCATGAGCCACGCCAGGACACCAGGGATGATCTCTGAGTGCAGAGCAGGGAGGAAGTGTTGGTGGCCCCAAAAACAAAAAAGAAAAGAGGTCGATATTATTTTAAAAAAAACTGAAGCAAAAAGATATGTCCAGAATTTTGGAGACAATATTGCTCTTCCAAGGAGAGTGAAAACCTGGCAGATCTTTAGTCCTCGCTAAACAGTGCAGTTACCTGTGTCTTAGCTCCGGTGCTGTACAAGCCAGCGGTCCTTCCCCACGCAGCTGCACTTGGTATGCAGAAGAAAAATGAGGGGATCACGTTGCTGAGGCCGTGCGCCAAGAACTCCTGCAAGATTGATAGTAAGATAGACATATACATCGATATATATATATATATATATATATAATTTTAAAATCACAATTTTTAGACACCACTGTTACTCAACTTGTGAAAAGAGCAAGGCTTGTCTGTAAGTCATTTTTTTCTCCTCTGACCATGACTTAAACATTAAAATAGAAATAGCAAACACCGAGTATTTACGGTGAATGAGAAACTGTTCAAAGCTCTTTGCTCATTTAATCCTAATAATAGCCTACTAGAGAGACCCCTGGTATTTTTAGTTTGGGTTGCCAATTTCCCCTTTCAAATTCCTACAGGAGTCCAGTTCCCAATGTATTAGCAATCAACACCCATGGTGCTAAATCCACTGATTAACTCTTATTTTACCTAGCAAAAAAAAAAAAAAAGTAACATTTAATTCACTATTCTCTGTGGGGCTTTCATTTGGCTTCTGTTATGCTCACCCTGTTTCCTCTCTTATCTCTCCGGACACATCTTCAATTCCTTTGGAGTTCCTTATCAAACCAAATTTCTAACCAATAGTAAATATTGGACTACTTTTCTTCTCTGTAAACATTGTAGCTACCCAACTCCATATGGACAAGCCCCAAATTATAATCTCTAGCCGGGATCATTCTTGTGAATTTCAGGCTCATAAAGGTAGCCTGAATTCCTATTGAGAGGATTTATGGATTCCAGACTTAACAGAACGGTTGCACGTACCAGCCCCAGTCTCTTGCCTGCTCTCTTAATTTCTAACCCATCTTAAATTCTAATTACTGGGGTCAACAGCTCCTATTAACTGCTTTCCTCCTCCCAGATGACATCTATATATTATCCAAACTGAGCATTTCTCACTCTTTCGTTGTGCTATCATGGGGCAAATCATCAAATGTCACCTGGATTATTTATTGCCAAAGCCTCATCAAGTTTTCCTGCTTCTGCTACTACCTATAAACAACGAAGACAAACATCTCTAACCACAGAGAACTGAAGGTATAGTGAGAAAATGCTGACAATAGGCAATGCAATATGGAAACGAAAGGACAAGCAGTCATAGAAAAATCTGGACTTTAGGCCTTCACTTAAGGAAGGCTTTCTTGAAAAGGGAATATTTGATAAAGTAGGCATGTAAATATCTAGGGGACCAGGTTCTCAGGCATAGCGTGAGGTTTCAAGCAAAGGCAAGGTTGGTTGAATAGCTCAGAGTTTTTAAAGGGGATGCAAAATCATGAGAAAAAGCAATGGTCAAGGGGAAGGAGGACTTAACAAATCTTGAGAGGTTTTTCATCTGAGAAGAGAGAAGTGAATGAGAGGTCCTGATTAAAGACAGTCATATCATAGTATCGCTGGGACCTAGACCAGCAGTCTGCGACAAAGTAAGATTCAATATACATTGGTTACATGACTAAATCAATTGAGAAATCTGGGTCCCAGGAAAACAACACTCATAGAGCCTCAAAGTGAGGTACAGATCCTCAGAGCATCTGTGTGCCCTGTGTAGCTGTGACTGTGCCAATCCGCCAGCAAACAGGGCCACACAAGGTTGACAGAAACAGATTCAGAAACATGATTGGTAAAATCTTCATTTGCCATCATGCTAAGTATAGATTCTTCCATTAGTTCGCTGTATTGTCTCCAAGAAGAGTAGTACTCTTTTGTACATTGAAATCCACAATTTTAAAAAGTTAAAATATATCATACTTGGTACGATAAACATACTTGGATTCTCTCCTACAAACAAATCACAAAACATCAGATTCCTTGCGCTATTTTCCCCTAAGTGTTATAGTTTTAACGCTTATTATGTGCATAAGTATACAGAGAATAAGCAATCCAGGAAGGCCAGGTTTTCAGTATTCTATGAGTGACACAGAAATATTTAGGGCAGGTAGGGCAGAGAAGGGACCACTGTGACAATGGTAGTTGGAAATGATCACTCTGAATAAGAACTCAGTGATGAGAGTAGGTAAGGGATATACATGATAACCTTTCAGTACCTGTATTGCAAAGATAATGCCCAAAGGAAAGAGAAAGTGAGAGAATGAGAGGGAGAGAGAAAGAGTGAGAGGGAGGGAGGGAGGGAGGGAGAGAGAGAGAAAGAGAGAGAAGTGTCTGCCATAGAGGCAGGCTGAAGGGGGTCGAAGGTGGACTTGTCAGGAGGGAAACTGGAGATATTTATGGCGGGAAATGTGCACTGGTGAAGAAACAATTGGGACATTGTATGACTGAAACCCATGAACAACTTTTTGACTATGTATCTCAAAATGATTCAAGTTTTTAAAAAAAGGAAGAAGAAATATTTCATATTTTTCTTCTACCCATTCCTGCTATATACTTAGGAACATTGTATTTTCCATAAATTTAATATTTTCTGGATCTTGGAATATGCAGTACAATGATACTGTGGAAGGAAGCTTCGGTGTACTTTACCTGGTTGTCATCAACTGAATATTTGAACTTTTTGGCGGATCCTTGAGCGAGAGCCAAAGAGGCCACGTAGCCTACAAGTGCCACGCCAAAGGCTTCCGTGAGGACTGCAGAGAGAACGTTCATAGGAGGGGCTCTAGGCGGAGGGATTCTGTGGAGAGAGAGAATATCTTGAAATCAACCTTCATGTAATTTCTATAACAACTTGCATTGAACTCAATCGTGGTCATGACTGAAGTTTTCATAGAATAAGTGAAATACTCATAAAAAAAGATCAATATTGCCCTTTGAAGCCCTTTGCTTTCAATATTATGTAGCAGAAAAGTAGAATCACAAGGATTATCACAGAGACAGCATGATGTGTCTGTCATTTATGCCCAGGGAATTCAGCTTACGCTGCAGAAAGTCTGACTCAAAACAACATTTCTTGTCCCAGAACAAAAGCAAATCTGGAGCCTTCTTTCATTTGAACCTTTTAAAGTATTTGTTTTATTTATCTGGTATTAGAGATTGTATTTCCTGTTTTAAGTACTACAATGTTATATGCAAACATCAGTTTACTGTGAGTCACAAATTTTAAGCTAATCCTTACATTGTCTATTGATTTCATAGTTGAATTATGTTTTTAACTTGATCCTTTCAAAGTACACATACTTATGCATCATGTATTCTGAGGGGGAAAATGTGGATACAAAGAAAACAAAACATATTGATTTAACATTTAGCATGTAAGTAGAAAAGTTAACCCTTTCATACCATTTTTTTTTTTCATTTATTCCTTAAATCAGATCCACTCTATGTACAGAGGGAAAGGGAAACCACTTTAAGAAAGGTTAAATAATGTATCTGGGATCACAGAGAGAATTGTGGAATTGGATTGCAAGTTCAGCCCCAGGTTAGTTTATTTGATTATTTAATTATTTATTGTTGTTCCCTTTGAAACTATTAGGATGGACCTGGAAATGTCACTTAAAATAAATGAGAATTATAGAGAAAGTAAGAGGTTTCTTTTTTTAACCTGTTCATAAAGTTTACCTATTAGATAAATTGATCTACATCATTATAGGGTCAAAAAAAATCTGTTATATGAAAGTTCAACCAGGTCAACATTAAGAATTTGGTTACATGAAAATTCTACTGGTAAATTAATAAAACTAAGCTATCCTAGAATATGGACCCCAAAACAGATGAGAGAGAGAGAAGACAGAGAGAGGGGGGGTGAAAAGAGAGAGAAATAAAATCCATGCATACCTATTCTCACTTCTTTCCTCCATTTAAAGCAAACGAATAACAGAAACAAAAGAGATTACTTTACCCTTTGGGAATATGACCAAGAACTTCTAAGCCATATGTGTCTTCCATATTGGTGCAATAACAGGCAATTGATGCGGCAATAATCTGGTCCCATTTGAACAATGACAACAACAACAACAAAAAATTATTATTAGTTTCTCAAATGCCTTAAGACTATTTTAAGAGTAAACATTACCCATGTGTACCATGATTTTCAAGAGAAATAATTTTAATAAACTTAATTATATACAATTTTAATTGTACAGTTTTTTAAAAATTTTTATTAGTGAGACACCATGAGGTACAGTTGTAAACTTACAAATTTTCATGCTTGGGTTTCAGTTATACAATGATCGAGTATCCATCCCTCCACCAGTGCCCATTTTCCACCACCAATGATCCCAGTATCCCTCCCACCCACCCCCCATGCACCCGTATCCCACCCCACCTCTGTGGCAGGGCATTCCCTTTTGTTCTCTCTCTCCTTTTGGGTTGGAGCGATAGCACAGCGGTAGGGCGTTCGCCTTACAAGTGGCCAACATGGCCGACCCGAGTTCGATTCCTCCGCCCCTCTCGGAGAGCCCGGCAAGCTACCGAGAGTATTTGATATGCCAGACACAGTAACAACAAAATCTCCAATGGAGATGTTACTGGGCCCGCTCGAGCAAATCGACGATCAACGGGAGGGCCTTTACCTTACCTTACCTCCTTTTGGGTGTTGTGGTTTGCAAAAGAGGCATTGAGTGGCAATCATGTTTGGTCTATAGTCTACTTTCAGCATGCATCTCCCATCCTGGGAGGAGCCTCCCAACACCCTTTATTTGGTGCTCCCTTCTCTATCTGAGCTCCCTTTTCCGCCCCCAAGCCATGGAGTGAACTTCCTGGTACTTATCTCGGCTATTGGGTGTATCCTATTTTGTTACTTTATGTTCCCCAAATGAATGCAATCTTTCTATGTCTGTCCCTCTCTTTCTGACTCATTTCACTTAGCATGATACTTTACATGTAGTACCACTTGTATGTAAATTTCATGACTTCATCTTTTCTAACAGCTACATAGTATTCCATTATGTAGATGTACCAAAGTTTCTTTAATCAGTCATCTGTTCTCCGGCACTCAGGTTTTTTCCAGATTTTGGCTATTGTGAACAGTACAGCAATAAACATAGAAGTGCAGATGTCGTTTCAATTTGTACAGATATTTTTAAAGAATATTTTTCAACAATATTTTTTAAATAAAAAAATCCCTGAAGTTTGAGTGCACTTAAGTCATAGTCATCAAATTTAAATATAATCCCAAAAGTATGGTTTTCTATATTCCTCATTTGTATCAACCCAACTTTGTCTCATTTTGAAAGGAAACAGAACATAGCATATATGTTACATCAGTTTGTATGTGTATTTGATCAAACAACACAATCCAACTTTGATATGCATCTTTTATTATTCTTGTTATCCAAGAATGCTGTATGATGGCATGTTTTCTCTCCATGATAGCAACCTGTTAAGAACTGCTGATATTGTATCAATATTCCTATCATAGTAATGGAAGATTATTTTCCTCCTTGAATACTCTTAATGTTGAGATTTTATTATTATCAAAATAGAGGCTTCCAGTTATATACTGGACTTGAAGGATGGAGAGATGATACAATGGGGACAGTGCTTGCCTTCCTTGTACACAACTGATCCAGGTTTGATCCCCAGCACCCCACCTGGTCCTGATAGCAGTGTGCCCTGATTGCAGAGCCAAGAATTATCCTTGACTTCCACCAGGGTGGTCCCAAAATGAAATATAGATAATAGATGTACATATATATTTATATATTTTATATTGACTATTGTTTTGCTTTTTGAGTCACAACTGGCTAAGCTCAGGGATTACTTCTGACTGTACTCAGGTCATGCTCAGGAGACCATATGGGATGCTTGGGATTGAGCCCATGTTGGCTACATTAGGAGCAAGCAATTTACTCCCTTACTATCTCTTTTACTAGCATTAAATATTTTCTAGAAAGAAAAAGCTGACATTAGGAAGATAGCTCAAAGGACTGGAGCACATAATTTGTGTATAGTAACCCCAGCTCGGTCGCCAGTCTGCATTTTCTCCTGAAAATGCATCTCCCAGGAGTGACCTTCAAGCACCAAACCAAGTACAGTGTCAGAGTACCACCAGTATTATAAGAAAAGGAAAAGAAAACAGCAATTATGGGATATACTGTTCAAATTTATCATGATATTATAGTATTTTCAAATAAGATAGCAGTAGTAAAAGACTCAGACTATTAAAATTCAATCAGAAGTTCTTACATGTTGCTAATTTCTAAGGTATGTATATTATTAGCTGGTAATAATATACATGAAATATTTATATTATATCAGGAAATAGCTGCCAATGAAATCTCCCATGGTCATAAACTAGATTCTTATTGAAAATGGAATGTATGCATTTTTATACATGTAGCCAATCTAAAAAATCAGAAATCCCAGCAGCTGAGCTAGTCTTTTAGACAATATCTTACTTCCTTACTCTGTCTTTAACATGGTCAAGCCTCTTCATCAAATGAGTCATTGGTCCCTGTTCCATAATATTTCAAGTGTTATATTTGAGAGTGAGAACAACAATACCCTAAGACTCAGGCGAGACAGATGTTTCCCCAGACAGCCCCGATTTTTTTTTATCATTTTTTTTATTAGTGAAACACCATGAAGTACACTTATAGACTTCTAAATTTTTGTGCTTGGGTTTCAGTTATACAATGATCAAGTACCCATCCCTCCACCAGTGCCCATCCTCCCCCGCCACGGGTCCTAGCAACCCTCCCACCCCCCATCCCTCCCCCCCCCCCCCCGTCCCACCCTGCCGCTGTGGCAGGGCATTCCCCCTTGTTCTCTCTCTCTTCTTTTGGGTACTGTGTTTTGCCAGAGAGGCATTGAGTGGCAATCATGTTTGGTCTATAGACTACTTTTAGCATGACTCTCCCACCCTGGGAGGGTCTTCACAACACCCTTTATTTGGTGCTTTCTTCTCTATCTGAGCTTCCTTCTCACCTAGAACGTGTGGCTGGCCTTCAAGTCATGGAGCAAAATTCCTGGTACTAATCCGATTTTTTTAAGGCTCTAATCTAATCCTCTTTCAAATGGGGTCCTCTCCAGAAGACTAGAGAGAGGGCAGGAGATGTACCCACCTCACACCTAGATTCCTTTTCCTGGAGGTCACAATCTGAATACTCTGGAACATGTCAGTTTCTGCCCAAGTTAGCCCTTGCCATTGTCCAGTAAATTTTCCCAAGCCCTGGTCTCTGGGAACCCAGGAAAAGGCTGAGCGATAAGTAGAGCAGTGGAAGAAGTAGGTGTGGCTAGAACTTGGACACTGATGCAAGTATTCACATACCTCTGAGACCCCTTTATATAGTAGCTAGAGGAAAAATGGGAAGAGGGTAGGCCAAGGAGTTCATCCTACCCATGCAGCCACTTTTTGGCAGCGATCAAAGGAAGGAAGAGATTTTCCTACTCAAATCTGGCTTCAGGGTAGCATTAAAGAGCCTTTGTCAAAGTAGCAAACATATCTACACTATTTAACTTTTGCTCTATAACTTTTAAGGTTGGGACATGAGTACCTTTGCTTTGGTGTTTTGCAAGTATTATAGGGCAGCATTGCATAAAGATTACCTTTTGTTTAACTATTAGGATCATGTTTACTCTTTTTTGCAAGGAATAAGCAAATACTTCATTATGAGTTCTGAGGCCTTCCCTAAGGTTATTTTTAGTTTTTGCTTTTGTGAAGCATGTAATAAAACTTACCAAAACATAATAAGCATGTCTTAATATCTATAAGACTTTGGAATAAAATCATATGCTTCATGGTTCTGAAGCTACTAATAAGGACAGTATGCTCTACTCAGATACACTATGATTTATTTTAAATACACAACATACATGTTGAAAAGCTCACAAATTATCAAGCACACAAATCACACAAGAGAAGTCATTCATCTTAGTTATAGAGTGATGAGTCAGACTCCTCAATTTCCAGTGTGTGAATGTTACGTAAACGTAACCCAAGTTCAATAGGGTGAAGTAATATTTTAACAGGTGTAATTATGTACATACCATTAGTCATAAACATGTACAATCCAAAAACCGTTAAAAACAACTAGAGGCAATTAATGAAGAGTACTGGGGTTGTGTGAACATTTCATTATCAATGTAATAGTTTGTTTGGTTTCCATTAGAGTTCTTGCAGGCTTTGAGATTTTCAAAGCACATTTTAATGGATATGATCTAGTAGCAAAGTTAATACACTACTACGTTCTATACAAAAAATAATTAAAGAAACCAGTCACGGCCAATGAAATGCATCAGAGTCTTTTCAATAGAACAAAATGAAGACATTGACAAAGGTGTCAGTAAGCCTACCGATTATAAGTGAGCATTTTGCAATTGATAATATCCCTCTGCCTATTGTACAGATGCCCCATCAGTAGGATATGGTATGACTTTTATGACTTTTAGGGGAATTAGGCAGAGACTTTTTTGAGTCTCACCATGAGAACTGTCTCCTTATTTAAAATCTGAGGCTATATCCTCTCTTATTTATGTAAAAAAGAATTGCAAGCATATGAGAAATGCTGTGTAAATTGAAAACGTGTGTGTCTCCTTTTTTGAAATTATTGACTCAAAATGTTTCCTGTTCTTACATTAATGTATAGCCACGCAAATTAGCTCGACTTTAATGAGAGACAGGAGTTGCTGTGTGTTACTGTACACAATTTAGCAAGCCTCTGCAGGTTATCCCAGTAACTGGCAAATATTGTAGGGCATCACGCTAAATGTTGATTTCCTACTTACCAAAACCAAATCGATGGGAAGAACAACTTTAATTTTTCTTTTAAACTGTTCATTCAGTTCTTTAACCAGAACAAGCACCACGATGCTTAGCGAGGATAGGAGTAACGCTTCCAGACGAACAGACTTGATGTTTTCAAAGACATATGCATAAATCTGTGATGATGGCAAAGAAATAAACAAAATACAGGGTTACCTATAACACTCCAGTTTTAATATCTGGCCCCAAATGAATTGAGTGATGTTTGCACATCTTCCTTAAGCGGTGAGGGAGGGAATGCTGGAGCATGAAAGAATACAGAAGGTAAACATTGATATTAGGGAAAGTGTAATAATTCATTAATATCCATACAATTACTCTTCTTCTGATTCTTTCATCAAAATCAGGAGTTTTGTCATTTTGACTTGAGGGCACTATTAGAGTGAGCGACTCTCCCAGCTTCTTCCCAAAGGAAATTGGTAAAGATAATTTAAAAAATTGCTAGTTTCATGCAGATTAGTCATTAAGAGAACTTTAAGGGTACTAACAATGAACCTTTAAACCCCAGAATCAAACACACATGTACAAGGTCCACACAAAAGGAATTAAGAATTAAGTGTTTAACTGCTATCAAGTATTTGGCATCCTGTAAAACGTTAGTGTTCTCATCCATTCAGAATTGTATGTGTGTGTGTGTGTGTGTGTGTGTTTGTATGACCACATAGTTTATACACCTAGTTTATAAACCGAACATTTGACTTAGTTTTGGGTCTACAGTGATGAGCAAGTTAGCTAAAACTCGATATTCCTGGAATTTATGGTCAGGCATAGGAATTTCTAATAGAAGCAATGAATTTGCAGGATGTAGGAGTACCTACAGTTCATGTGTCTTAGAGGTATTGGTGTCGGGGAGTGCTATCCCCACATAAGATAAATTGTAATTATCCATCTTAGAGATTGTGGGGGAAATGAAATGATAGGGAAATGATAGAGAAGTCCTGGGGAAAATATTCTGCTCCATATCACACTTTAAAGACCTAGACTATAAATATGATGAAAGGATATACACCTTCCTGAAAAATAATACTTTTAATGGTAAGCAAGTCTATGGAATTATTCCTACATCAATTTTTCCTTAAACTTAGAAGATTTTGGGGTCAGAGGGCTAAGACAGTGGGTAGGGCATATGTCTTGCATGTGGACACCGTGGTGTCAATTCCTGGCACCCCAGATGGTCCCCTGACCATCAGGGTTCAGGAGTGAACCCTGAGCACAGAGCCAGGACTGAGCCCTGAGCACTGTCAGGTGTGGCAATAAATAAATAAATAAATAAATAAATAAATATTAGGAGACTATATAATACATAGGTGTGATATACTCAATCTTGGTAACTTGGGAAAATCTGACTTTGCAAGAAAGCAGTTGAGCATTGAAGGGTGTGGCCCCCCAAATAAAACTAAACAAGTCAGCAAACTCTCAGAGCTCCCCAGCTCAGCGTTATGATAATTCTCTGGCCAGTGGTACATGGGGCCACCAGGGCTACTTGACAAAACGCAGCACCCAGGCACTAGGAATCAAATTTGAGACCTGAAATAAGCAGGATATTAAGTCAACTCCTTCCTGTTATCTCTCTGGCCCGCAAATATGGTTTGATGGAAGAGAATTTTATACTTAAGTGATCAGCTCTGGAATGTTAATCACCTTGTGTAAGATGTCTGAACTTAGTCTGAACCTTCCATAGTCTCTCTTACGAAAATGAATCATTTGTATAAATGTCAAGGTTTTAAGTGGGCCTTAAGTGCCTCTCTCTGAGGCCTTCTGACATCAGAATTGCTGAATCTAATCTTTATAACCACACTTCTAATGCCAGAACATGGTTCAGGGGATAGCAACCCAGGTAAGATTCCTGGTACCACGTGATCTTCCCAATTCCACTGCAAACAAACCAGGAGACCCCCAAGGGCTGCATTCTCAGCCCCTAGCACTGAGTTGCTGGTTCCATTGGTAGAATATCATTAGGAGAAACCTCCAGGCCCCATAAGTACGTTATAGACCCTCCCCCTCAAAAAAGAAAACTTAATTTATGGCTAGAGCATATTTTTTAAATTCGGTTTAGATCATATAAAGTAGTTTCATTTTAACACATAAAACTGTTCCTACAGTAATCTAAACTGTTAGTATTCTTTGCACTTTTCATTGAATATTTCAAATATAATTTGATCAGGAGCAAAAGTTGAGAACCCAAATATGATCCAGACAATGAATCTAAAAAAACCTGGATAAACTCAAGCTTTTAAAACTGTGGTTTGATGGAGCTCATGAGACAGTCTAGCAGAAAGAGTGTTTGCCTTGCATACGGCTGACCTGGGTTCGATTCTGTGCATCCCTTATGATCCCCTGAGCACCGCCAAGAATAACCCTTGAGCATGGCCAGGTGAAACCAAAAAACATAAAAAAAATTAAAACCGTGGGTTGCCACACAGTTGGGACCACATTACTAAAGGCAGAGATAATTTTACATAGAGTAACTGATTAATTTGCAGAACTATTTTGGATATCTATATACCCACAGTCCTGTGAGAATTCGTAGGTGAAAATGGGGTCATGAGTTGAAAAAGTTTAAGAAGTCCTAATGTAGATAATTTCCTAATGTTCTACTCAGTAGTTTTTTAATCTAAATACTCAACCTATTTGGCCCAGAGATCAGGATGATAACTTAAGCCTGGGGCTATCAGAACTGGATTCTATAGATTGAAATTATCATTAATATTATGATACCTTCAAAAATAGAATATGAATTCATTTAAAATGGAGCTTTGAGCCGAGGAGATAGTTCAAAGGGCTAAGAACATGATTTGAATGTGAGAGGTCCTGTGTTCAATCATATGGTCCCATGGGGAGAACATTCTGATCACTGATCGGGAGTAGCTCTTGAGTACTGCCAGCAAGTTCAAGTCCAAAATAAATAAATTAAATCAGATAAAATAAAATTGAACTTCAATGGCTGAAAGGGATGAGGCATTACAGTTAATCCAAATTCTCTTTGACAACACAGTTAAAATAAAAACAAAAATAAAAAAATTGACCAATTGTAAAATCAATACGTCAAGGAATAAATTAGGAGTTAAGTGTTTCACTTGTCATCTCATTCAAAAAATTTTATTTCATAACATACTACTTGGAAAGAAAATCAGACAGAACAGCATCACAGCTAAAATTCAAGTGGTAATTTTCCTGACTATGATGTAACACAAACATTTTTCTACTACTCTTTTTGCTCAAGTTCAGGATCAAAGTCCAAAATCCTATTGAGTGAATATATACAGAAAAGGGTTAGAGAGTTCCAGGAATTTTTTCCAAATGCTTATCTCTCTGGTAGTTTACCATGAACCAAAGATGAAAATCAAGAATACTATTACGTTGACTTGTTAGAAAAAAGAAAAACAAACATTCAAAAGTTATTCCTTTTGTTTTATTCATGACATTAAAGTCATGCTATAAAAGTGCCTGTATAAGGAATTACACAAAAAAAAAACCCCAAGCCATACCAAATTTGTCATAATATGCATTTCAAAAACATGTGTTTATAGTAATAAAAATGACCACCCCAGAATGAAAGGAATGAGAAAAACCCTTGGGGTTTTAGAAGCTTGTAGAGCAAAGCTTGTCTCATCTACAAGACGCCCCAGAAGAAAAAGGGATGGACAGAGATTCATTACAACCAGCCTGAAGAGCACAGTAAAAATATTGGCTGGTGAGCACTCATTCTAGTGGCTGCCATGTGGACCCGCGCAGAGAAGTCACAGTTAAAGCAGGCTCATAGGGGATGGGTAACATATGGGGATAGATGGCGGCAGAGTGATGGGGACACAAACACACACAGGCTTACATATGCTCATTTTACATCAGCCTCGGCATGCAAAGCACACAGGAAGTTTTGCATTTCAAGTAAAGTCCAATCATCTAAGTATGCTGTTTCATGATACGCCTCAAGGAATAAAAATTCTTACCAAGGATGACCATTCACTTAGCAGACCACAGAGCAGCAAGGATGATTTATATCTTTCAGGATAATTCAATAAGCTGTATCATCGAAACTGACCAATCTGTTTAACAAATGACTCAGTTCATTTTGAGACTATAATAATAGTCCTTTAAATTCGCCATTTTAAAAGATTAAGATGTCACTGATTTAACACTGGTTAGCAATGCTATAAAGGTTTGAGACTACAACTCCATACCTGCATATGTACAGAAACTCCATGTTCCCACCACCAAGGTTCTATTTCCTGACCCATATAGATTTACACTCCTATCTATTCTTTTTCTTTTTTTTTAAATTGTTGTTAGTGAAACACCATGAGGTACAGTTGTAGATTTACAAAGTTTTGTGCTTGGGTTTCAATTATACAATGATCAAATACCCATCCTTCCACCAGTGCTCATTTTCCACCACCACGGGTCCCAGTATCCCACCCACCCCCCATACCCCCATCCCACCCTGCCTCTATGGCAGGGTATTCCCTTTTGTTCTCTCTCTCCTTTTGGGTCCTGTGGTTTGCAAAAGAGTCATTGAGTGGCAATCATGTTTGGTCTATAGTCTGCTTTCAGCATGCTTCTCCCATCCTGGGAGGATCCTCCCAACACCCTTTATTTGGTGCTCCCTTCTCTATCTGAGCTCCCTTTTCCCCTAGAATGTGTGGCTGGCCTCCAAGCCATGGAGCAAAAACTCCTGGTACTAATCTCGGCCACTCTTGTACACTCCCATCTTTTCTCCCCTCCATACATCACATACTTTGTAACAGTTTCTTATTTTTGTTCTATTTAATAGCTTGTTTGTTTGTTTTATATATTTATTGAATTAGATAAACTATCTTGTGATTATCTTTCACTCTCTGACTTTCTAGGCTCATCCTAATGCCTCCTGTTCCATTTATGCTGTTGCTTCAAAGACAAGATTTCATCCTTTTTCATGGCTAAACAGCCTCCATTAATGATACATACAATTTTTTTAGTCCCTTCTCCATGGATAGGTATTTATTGTGTTCATGTCTTGATAATTGTGAATAACTTTGCCATGAACACAAGAGAATATTTTTGAATTAGTAGTTTTATATCATTTTTGGACCATACACAATAGAGGTATTTATTGGCCCACTTTTATCTTTTAAAGGAA